GCTTACAGAAAAGCAGTGATCAAACAATGTGCAAGAATTTTTTTCTTTAGTGTGCATATTACATTAGGCACAAAGACTGTGATGTTACACCCAGCAGAGTAGGTAAGTATCATAAATGGGGTTGAAATTTGAACAAACAGACTTGACTATATGTATAAAAGAATCACAAGTCTTGAAAAACTAATAAAATATTTCCATTTATATTCACAGGGGAATTAAAATGAATAAAAATTCAACAAATCAAGAACATAAGGTACATCAAATAGTTGTCAACATGGTGCAAAATGTCACAAAATTTACGAGACCTGCCAATGGGATTTGAACATGGTGAATGAACTTCAACACTAGGTGCTATTGTCAGTACTCATTCATGAACAGAGCAAAATTATTCCTGCAAGTCCACCTCAGGGCCTACAACGTCATTTGAACAGCTGCATGCTCTGTCCACATCTTCAGTTTCTTCGTTATCACTCTTGCAGAACATTGAACACAATGGCTACTGGAATGGTTCTCTTTAACACCGTTTCTTCCTCCTCCAGCAAAAGAAATCAGGACAGGAGAAATGTAATCACTGATAAGCGTTGGCATCATATGGTCATAGAAAAATCATCGGACTACATGTTGCCGTAAAAGCCAACAAGTAATGGGATGGGTGCCCTTTCCCATGATCCAAGGGTGTCACCAGCAAAAAAATAATGGTGGGCTGAGCATCACCGGGGCTGATATGTGTTATGCAAGAGAGTGAACACAGCTGGAATACCAAGTAAGAATGACGAGTAGTGGAGAATGGCAAGTATAAACTATAGTAAGTAAATAAAGAAAAAAAGCATTGTAAATATACAAGTTTCATAAGTTAGAATGAAAAAAAGGAGTAAGAGATTACAGTTTTTTATAGTTTTTAGAAAGGATGTATTATAGCCAAAAAAGCTTTCAAATCTGAAAAATAACATAACATGCAATGAGAATCAACCTAGCTCACTAGATAACCACAGAACAAGACCCAAATGCACTTTTGACTTGCTGTGTTGCCAGCAGGTTTTGGTTGTGCAAAGCACCACTGGAAATTGTCATGAAAGTTTAAAACCCTAAAAAGCACCTTATCTTTTACACAAAATACCAGAAAGTGGAAGTAATTAGCAGAAAAAACATGAAAGAACCAAAAAAGTCAAGTAAGTCTTCTCATATTAGTAACTTCTACACTTGATGTATACAGCTAAACATCAAAAAGCATGCATATTGCAGCTGTCCAAAATATAACCAGATGTCTTGTCTCTAAAGCTAATGAAAAAAGTGGTCTGTGACAAATGTAATGAAAAAAGAAAAGACACTGATAATTTCAATTTTTTCGAGAGCTGCATGCACAAGGACAGAAACATCACAGACATTTACCAAGCACGTGTTTCTACAGATGTGCCATGCATTCTGAGAGTCAGTCATTGTTCACTAAGAAAAGCTGTTTGCAGAAATCAAATGTGAATGTAAAATGAGATAATGTCGGCAATATAGTCACGATATAAGAAACAACAGTACCTTCCTGTTCAACCTCAAGCCACATGATGAGGATATATTTCCATGTATATGACAACCAATGCCGTACCTCTACAAGCCTTATAATGTCCAGGTACTTCTTGTGATGAACAAGTTGTTGCTGCCAAGTGCAGAAAACGTGACACACACACACACACACACAAAACAATACAAAGCCAGAATGTGAAAATATATAAAATAAAGTGATCAGCTTCCGTGAATATTCAAACGCTCAAATGAAAATGCAATCAGATCCACGACATTTCTAGTTATTTGCTTGCAGTGCACAAAGAATGCCTGTAGTACACTGCAGCAGGTCTGTTAAGTTTTGATGAAGCACCAAAAAGTTCTACTCATGGACAAGTGCAATCTCCAAAGCACAAACATGCTCAAATAAATGCCAGTGCAAGAGAAGTGACTAAATGATATAGTACAAGGGAAAGTGATAACACACATACAAGCATGAATATAGTCAAACTATATTATACTGATCTCAAAGGGTATCATGGAATGGTTCAAGATGTCAGTAACAAAAGTAATTATGTATAGCTGAAGCTAATCTGAAGACTTCGCATGCCATAGGGCAGTCTCTTGAGATTGTAAAAACATAAAAACAGAACTTTAAAGGTTTGTTCATCATTGTCCTGTCAAAGCAAGAGCATTTTTTAGGTACTTTGCCTCCATTCCTACCTTTGAAATATCTCAGACCAGAAAGCCCTATTCCCCCTTGACGTGCAGTGGTCCCTTCTCTTTTAAACATGCACAGGCAGCATGCTTCACAGCACGAATGGGAAGCTCACTATACCAAATCCATGATCATGGATGGACGAATGATCAGGCAAGTCAGTGGTTTATGTCACTTGGAAACTACAAATGCATAACTAAACAAAGAGCATGAGGAGATGAGAACAAGGGCAAACCATCATTATGGAATACAAATCAAATCGCTGCTAAGCGAGCCATTCATTATTTGAGAAAGACTATTTTTCCTCCTCAGCTAGTGCAAACAAACAGATTCAATGTTTTGTTCGGCAGCATCTGTCAGAACATTGCAGTTTCATAGCGTGAATATCTCGGATCATGCGAGAAATGATAGTGCATTCGAGCCAGAAGCATACTCGAGAAGACATTGTGCACCGTTTGATATATTACATGCAGAGGTGCATGGGTACTCAAAGCGGCCGTGTCACTACCCGCATAGTACCGTGAAAACACTTCCACGAGTGATTTCCAAGAGGAAGTTACAACTATATGCATAGATGTATGCACAAAAAAAAAGGGGGGGGGGGTTGCAGTGTTCGATCATCTAAGGGTCTGCGAGGTGGGAGGGAGTGGAGAAGCTGGCTCCTCCAAATAGATAGCCTAGCCCATGCTTATGACTATATGATATGGGGAATTAATCATACATCCACATTCAATACACCCCATTTCAATTGTACATGCAAACTAGCAGGTATATCCAGTCTTTACAAGCAATCTATGTGATAACGACTTTAGATAATACATAGAAATCTCTGAAAAAGACAATATTTTGCACAGCCAATTCCTTGAAGATTTTATCGATAAAGCTTTTTATGTAATTTATTTACCATCTCCATGATAAATTTAATGTTTCAACACCAAACATGCCCCAATACAGCTACTGATAGAGTGAAGTAGTTCAAATCAATTTATTATGGCTTCCACAGCTCTAACAAAATCATCGCAGCTTAACACTTTGTTTTAGAGTAAGTTGTTATACTGTTAACCAGCACAATTATCAAAACGAATACCTATTTTGTAATAATGCTAGAGTATGTGCTCACATCAGTGTCTCTATAATATTAAAAATCCATTTCTTCACCATGTGCAGATGAAAAGCCTAGCTTGCTTCTTAAACACCAAGATTCAAGTTAAGCACCACATTGCTGTTACAGAATGTTGCTTCCACTTTGTGCAGCTGTGTTTAAAATGTACAGTCACTCCAAAAATGATTTGCAACATGCTACTTATGGTAAAAGCAGAGCCATAACTGCACAATGGTGCTGACATAGAAAGCAATCTCATACATAAACACCGTTTTGAACACTTATATTATATTTACAGAAGTAGTTTTACATTTTCTGATGTTATAGGGCAGGCTTAAAGCCCTTTCGACCATGGCCACCGAGTTACTACTGATACTGAGTGCCACTTTACAATGAATTGATTTTGCATTGTCCCTGATGATGCAACACTACATCTGACACAAAGCTTGTTTTTTGTGTTTTTTTACCAGTACAGCCAAAATTCTTAGATGTGTTACATAAGGGGTTCCATGTGGGTAGCACCCACATGGAACCCCTTATGTAACACATCATCACTTCCGTGTGGGTAGCACCCACAATGGAAGTGATGAACCTGCTGCCCATGGAGGCACACACAGCTTCTGAAGGGAACGGCCGAATCGAGTGAAAAATGAAAAAAAAAAAAAGGATTAGCACTGAAGACGTTAATAATTCAAAGTAAAATGGCTAGCATATTTCAGCCAGATAAAGTTAACCTTCACAAAAGCATGCCACCTGAGGAACAACAATTAGCAGAACAGATGCGATAGCTCAGAAAAAAAAATCACCATAAAATCCTGAGCAAGCGCTCCTGCGGTAAAAGATAATTCACATTGATTTGAAGCGGGCACCCTAGCTTGGTCACGATTCAAAATGACGGAGGAAGATCTGTGCAGGCTTGAAATGCCTTATTCAATGCGCAAGCATTCACTGCCATTATCTGCCTTCGCCGGGCAAATAAAAACAGTGAATGAAATATTGAAAGTGGAGGGGGGCTTCTTGCTTGGTAATCGTCATATACGGTATTTAAAATGTCCCAAAAAGGTAAAAGGGCACTTGCTATGGCAGCAGAACTTGCTGGGTAGTTTACAGCATATAGTTATAGATATATATACACATAATAAAAATTAGCATAGTGAAATTGCCTCAATACAATCATATATTCAACGTTATGTCGACAAAACACTACATATTTTTAGCCTAAATATAACAAAGCGTGTTCAGAGTCACTTTATTTGTACATCACAATTTTGAATGCAAGTCACATAAAGTTTGAAAAATAGAAATATGTAGTGAAGTTCAAGTATTGCCACAAAAGAAAGGGCAAATGCAGGTGCCGAAGGTTCTGTGATTGAAATACACAGCATCGTTTGTGAAAACACCAATCAAATCCCTCGCCGCATTGTAGTGTGGTTCCAAAAGCAAAACAGCATCTCCTCAGGTGTTTCCAAACTTGACCCCTGATTTCAAAAGCCATAAACTGGCAAATGCGCTGCCGATTAGAGGCACTGGAGGGACGTGTATCAGTACATAATGAAGTGCACACCTTATATTTTGCTCAGTTTTATGCAAAATAGGAGAAAACTTCATTCTTGGCCAAAATGGCAAACATTGTTGACTTGTCATATTGAGGCCTCATACCTTCCTGTCACTTACAAAAACACAATGTTTCCATGACTCTTCATTCCAGGTTTTTTCCATAGTCACACCACAGCACATTTAGTTTTACTGGTTGGCAAGATGAAACCATATATGCACATAATTCTGCCAAAAAAGGAGCCAAAAGAAACAGAAGCTTATTATTACGCTGACGCTGTAGACAGTGAGCCCTTGGCACTGGTTGTAGACTGGAAGCTGATGTTGTGTGGGGTCATGCTGTGAGAGTTCTTCATGGAGTCAATGGAATGATGAGAAACAGACCGCGATGCATTGAGGCTGCTCAGAGTTCCAAGCTGAAAATAAAGCACAAAACAACAACATTAACAAAAACGAGGTTAGTACGTGCTTCTTAATGGCTACTATTCCTCAGTGAAATTGGCTTGCACAGATAAATATTTTCTAAAAATTTGCCCTACTGTTATCGTGTCCCCACTGTCAAATAAAGTGATGCATTTCCCACATCCTTAAAATAAATCCATAAGCCAATGGGGGCACAACGTATACTGACATTGTATACTACAGCACAATGTATTTTGACACTTGTTCAATTATGACAGTAATTATGTGGACACTCCAAGAGCATTTTTGCAATCACTGCCGGTGTTCTCTGAAGTGAGGTTCCATGTGAAATCCAAGGGCAATAACATCTGCTCGCATGTTGTATGTTGTATGTGCGACTGAAATTGTTTGAGGGCAACTGACAGTTGCGGCTCAAGCAGACGAAATGCACCAGCTGGCCTGCATTGCGCGAAAGGTCCACGGGAGACCCTGAAGGTGAGGAGGAGGGGCTCCATGGCTCTAGCAGGAACTGTGTTCTTTGACAGGCCGAGAGCAGAGGCATGGGCTTTTTTACGGCAGAGATCAGTAGATGGCTGGTCACCTTGTACACTCAATGTGACTTGCAACATGGCAGCGATGCCTTGTCAGAGCTCCAAGATCACTCCTAGCTTGTGCATGCCCTTATTATACAGGTCCTTCGAGATTCAAAGAGTGCCTCGCTAAGCCTACAGCATTGATTATTTCAGTAGTTTTTCGAAAATGGTGCCATAATCAGACAAGTGGTTTGCTGTCAAAGCTCAAGGACATAAACTTTAAACACAAGCACTGGTTCGTAGCCAACGAACTACAGAGCGTTTGATGGTCACTTGATAGATTCCAGATGAATAGCGACTGCTTTCGACAATTTTTTGCAGTTCTTTGAGATTCATTGAATAAAGGTTTGACTGTAGCTCTTCTACAAATCCAAAAAGTAGCTACAGAGGACTCCCGTTAAACGAAATTCGGTTAAACGAAAAAGCCGCATAAACAAAACTATCTAGGCACATTTGGTTGTCCTTCTATATATTTAATGATAAAAAGTTTCGAGTAATCGGAACATATTTCTTAGCTTACATCGGTTAAATGAAACTAAAACGGGCAAAATCCATGAACAGCGGAGGTGGCCACGGCAGCCTAGCAACGATGAAACAGATAGCCCCGCCGCGGTGGTCTAGTGGGTAAGGTACTCGGCTGCTGACCCGCAGGTCGCGGGTTCAAATCCCGGCTGCGGCGGCTGCATTTCCGATGGAGGCGGAAATGTCGAGGCTTGTGTGCTCAGATTTGGGTGCACGTTAAAGAACCCCAGGTGGTCAAAATTTCCGGAGCCCTCCACTACGGCGTCTCTCATAATCATATGGTGGTTTTGGGACGTTAAACCCCACAAATCAATCAATGAAACAGATATCAAAGCTAGCCTAGCCAATCCAATCCAGCGATTGCACACGTCAGCGCACCCAGAGCAGCAATCGACGGCTTGTTGTGAACTTGAGGAGACAGCCTTGAGGAAGCTACAGCTGAAGCTCAAGATGAGGACCTGTGCTCAAGTGGTAATGAGATGTTGTGTGATCCCGAGCCCATTTCAGTGGCTGACAGTGCAGCAATTGATGCTGCCGTCCTGTTGCAGCGCTACTTTGAACACGATGGTGGCACAGAGTTTCGGCCCAGCCTTTCAGTAATGCACTCCTACTATGTGAGAAAGTGCTTGAACAAGGCCAAGAAAACTGTTATCACGTCCTTTTTTCCGAGTCAGCAATATTCTAAACATTTTTCTTTCTTATCAACTACAGTAGTATTGCGTACTTCAAAATGTCTTTGTTCAGTCAGCCACAGTTGGTTCGTTTGAAATAAAGTCATATTTCATTAATTTTGTGGGCTTTGCTTAAAAGAAACTTCACATAAATGGAACAAATTTTCTTGCCCCTTCGTGTTCCGTTTCAAAGGAGTCCACTGGATATCTTTGAATGTCAATTCTATGTACATGTGTACATATTTTCTTAAAGCACAGCTCAGAGGCTCAGAGGCTTTCTGTATGCTGAATTTGCATACAGAAAAATGTTGTCACACTCACCTTCAATTTTGCCATATCTTCAAGCTTTGTGATGTCTGTCAACTCCTGATAATTAGAATACACAATAAGCCAAGCAAACACCTGAAAAGAAAAAGAAAATAGCCTGTTGTAGCAAGTTGAGACAATTGAACATCACCGTTAACAAAAATACAGTGACATTTTGCTTTTTGAACACAGGTTACACGCAAGCTACTCCCTTCTTGCGCATTTTGCTCAAACTGCTTTGCAAAATACTTTCACAGTGCATAAGTCCTATGGTACATAGGCTTGGTACGTTCTTTTGGGGTCTCTAGGGCACACAGTGCCCATGTCTTTTGCCAATCCTGTTGAGGTCCTGCCCAGTACTTTAGAACCACTTCTGAGATGGTCGCCTTGCGATTGGCTTGCCACCACTTTGTGTTCTTTTCACTCAGTGCTTAGCCTTTCGATTCTTTGATGAACCCAGTACAATTATAGCACACAAACAGCTTACAATTACCTATAGTACGAAAACAGCAACAGCCACTAGAGGTCCACCCAACCATGACAGGAGTAAGGAGGAGAATTAATAAGAACATCCAGAGTAGGGGGAATATGAGATGCACACCATGAATGCAAAATATACACTCAAATAATTGCTCGGATTTTATGTCCCAAAACTACGATATGATTATATGAGACCGTGTAGTGGAGAGCTCTGGAAATTTCATCCACCTGGTATTCCTTAATATACACCTAAATCAAAGCACATGGAGATCTGGCACTTATTCCTCCATCAAAAATGCAGCCATCTCGTCCAGAATGGGTCATCAGTTTAACTCCACAGCCACTATTGGCCGCGAGATCGAGCAGAGTCGTCGCCTGGCAGCAACTGACCGAAGTGGTGAAGTGTGGATTGTTCTGTGCGTCATCTGCTAGCTACGTCCTGTTTCTATGTGCGCGTATGTCATGCACATTCTCAAAGTGTGGTTTGTCCGGTCATGTAAGCACGAGTGCAACTGTTCCTACGTATGCCTGAAACGACATATGAAAGCATTTGGTTTTGCTCAGCTGCTAATGCATGGTAATAAGATCGGTGAGTGCAGCTTTCCAGAGTGCTGTTTATTATCGTCGTAACTTCCATCCAGCAGAATAATTTTCGAATGGGTGCCGCTTTCTGATTTAAGCACATCGTAAATTCTCTTGGCATCCTCCCAAACATGAGGACTATTAAATGGTGTGTGAAGGCAGCGTTTTAGAGCGACTCGGTTGTAAAAAAACAAAAACAGGCTATAGGCCATGCACTTGCGCATTTGTTAGTAGGTGTACAACAACGGCACTGTAGTTTACCGATCATGTGAGGAGCCCTAGTTGTGCTTATCTGGCCGTGGTGCCACTACATAAAAATATTACTATCACATAAACTGTGACGCATCGGTGCTTAAATGTACTTAAAAAAGAGTTACCGTGCGGAACCATGTGCTTAGATTTAAGGATGCTTTAAAGAGCCCAGACGATAAAAATTAATTCAGATGGTGTGCCTTATATATTGTTGCGTATGAATATAATGTTGTATGATTTCACTGAAAATTTCATTTTTTTACATCGTCTTCAGCATTTGTGTGGCATTGTTAGTGACCAACAGAAGGCAGTGATAATTTTTTGTCTGAAAAAAAAAAAAAACATTCTTGTCCCATTAACCAGGCCCTTGTTGTAGCACTGTCACGCACGTAATTTATCTATGAAAGCTTTCTGCTGAACTTTTATATAAATTTCTTTATATTCTTACTGGTGCAAGAATATGTGCATACACGTGGTAAACGCAGTGTAGCGCAAAGCGCCGTCAGTCACTAAGCTTTCCTGACTAGATATAGCGACTGTCCGACATTTTACGGGGAACAGAATGAGAAAAAAAAAATCATAAGCATATAATATGCGAACGGTGATATTCAACTAATCGCACAGATATTCGGGCTTTCTACGATCTTTCTTTCTCTTTTTTTTTGTAGTATGCAGATGACAAAGATGTAAATAAGTAGTTCGTTCATGCTATAGTAGTGCATAACGAGCGGAATACAAGCTAACCATGTACAAACAACCCAGCAAAGGCGTTATTTAGTGTGAAAGCCTGAAGAGAGTCACGCAGGGCGAGCATCCCTATGAAAGGCAGAATGCACTTTACTCGCGAGTAATGTTAACGTTGCATAGGCGACGTGCACTGATTCAGTAGAGAAGAGCGCAGACATTGACAGTAAACTGTAGTTAACGCATTTTATCTGCCGACAATCGGCTCAGACCGCACGCAACGAAGCGTTGCTGTGTGTATTTCTATACGCGCTGCCAACCGTCTATCCACACTTTCGCAGGAGGGTGCTGCCATCTATAGCCTGATCTCGCTGTGAATACCAGCAGGGCAGGTCATGCTTAGCATCTAGTCTGGCCATGACAGAGTGTGCTTCTGCCCACACTCCTTCTACATGACATTTTTCCATCTTTCTCTTTACACCCTACTCAAGTGCTTTTCTCCACCTCTAGGTGCCCTCCTCCTACATCGCTCACTTCCCTAACATTTCGTGCAGCTGTAGTGTACAAGCATTAATAACCATGACACCTCACACCATGGTTTCTCCACTGTTTTAAAGTCATGATGATACCATGCAAACCTAATCAAAAAACTGCTCATGCATAATGTAAGACAAATCACTGTAAAGAAAATTGATGTATAAACAGTGCTAAAATAGCCGGGTGTTGCCAGCGTTTGCCGGTGAAGCCAAATTAACTGCATGTGTACTAGTGCAGCTGTTTATGATAGCTTAACTTACTGACCTGGCACGTCTTTAACCCTTAGAGGGTCAACAATGTATATATGCAATCTTGCTAAACAAATGGTCGATGTCATATATCTATGGCAGTGACAGTACGACTGAAAAACGTGTTAGTTTTTATACCTATTATTCTTTTTCCCCCAGCAAGTTCTGTCATCCTCGAGGGATGTGTGGAAGTTTCTGTTCCAAGATTACTTTAGACTGACAAGTCCCTAATAACTTGCACATACCACTGTGCACGGCTGCCAGGCAGCAACCACTGCCTGCTCACAGGGGTGCGATTCCAGCGGTTCACAGGTAGGAACTAGTGCATATGAACTATGCTGTCATACCTTGTCACTTTCTGCAGGAATAATTGTAAACATTGATAGACTCTTCGGGGCAATAAATGAAGGGCCATTGGAGGTACCGTATAGTGCGGAATAGAGGTCGAGATTTTTTCCAAAAAACGTCAATAAAAAGTCACCCCTCGACCTATATACCGGCCCTTGGCATAAACCAGTGATCGTCTGGCAACAAGGAGTTTCACATGCTTTTTGGGCATCAGCATCGATATCGCCTTCCTCTGTGGGCCGACGCTTTCTCTGCCGACGCCATTTCTCTTTTATTGTTCATTTAGTGTTCATAGCGAGTGTCGACGTTACACTGTGACTAGCCATGAATATGGGGACTCGGCGCCAATTCACCGTTGCGTTTAAAAGAAATGCTATTGAGTTCGCAGAAGCGAATGGCAACATGGTGGCACAGCGGCAGTTTGGAGTGTCCGAGAAAAGCTTCAGGTACTGGCGCAATCAAAAATCCAAACTGTCGGTGTGTAACGCGAGGAAGAGGCCGTTTCGTGGTCGCCGAGCTGTGCACCCGGAACTCGAGGACAAGGTGGCGGATTTCGTCCGCGAGTACCGTGCCAGATCCCTGCAAGTAAATGCGGAACTCATTCGATCAAAAGCTGTCGAGCTCACCCGTGAAGCCGGTCTGTCAAAGAAAGACTTCAAGGAATCCATTTATTGGGTCCATCGCTTCATGCGACGCAAGGGATTTGCCCTTCGACGGCGCACGTCGATATGCCAGAAGCTGCTGGAGATGTATGAGGACAAATCTCACGTAGAGTTTCAACTCTACGTGAACAGCCTTCGGCGGCAGCATGGCTGCATGCTAGGCAGATCGGCAACGCCTACGAAACGCCGGTGTGGTTCGACATGCCGTTGTCCACGACTGGTTGTGAACGCGGGGCAAAAGAGGTAAAGCTGGATGGCTGGATGAACGAAAAGAGGTAAAGCTGGATGGCTGGATGAACGAAAAGAGGTAAAGCTGGATGGCTGGATGAATGGATGGCTGGCGACGACCCGCGGACCCCGACAGGCCCGCTGCGCAGGCCACCTCTCGTGACAGTTTCTGGTTGGGTCTCCGAGGCATGGAGGTCTCTGCCTGAAGAGATGGTGGTGCACACATTTAAGAAGTGCTGCATGAGCAATGCTCTCGACGGCACTGAGGACGACATGCTGTGGGAGGCGGCTAGTGATAAGCAGTCGTCGGAGGAGAGCTTGACAGCTCAGAGGACTGATTAAAGTGAATCTGTAAATTATTCCGCGTTTTTCTTTTTTTTTTTCTTTTTTTGCTGGTCAAGGTAAGGGGGTCGACCTACATTCCGCCTCAACCTATATTCCGCATTGTACGGTAATTTCTCACTTATGTGGATGTTGTGATGAGTGCAGACCTGCACATTTTTCTTTCATGCACTCGCATATACAGCATTGATGACATGAATGTGTACATGGCTTCTTTTCTTTGAATTAGTCAAGTGTAAATACTGCCCAAATGACAAATTGCGACTAGAATTATTGCATGTCAGACGTTGAAGGAAAAAATTTCTAACCAATTTGAAATCAGTATGCAATGGAGGAGCATCTTCACAGAAATGGGGTCGGCATGATTCTGACTGGCACAAAAGTGACGGCATTCTTACAGGCCCATTCTCATAAGCATGCGAAACAAATTTATTCTGAGAAACATAGTTCTTTATTACTAACATAACCTTATATGAATAAACCAAACTCTCCAGCCATTCTTAGCCTATAGCTTATAGGGTATAGCTTCAAAACCGGCCGGACAGTCACTGCAAGAAAGAGTGAGTGAGTCTCATAATGCAGAGCCAGTTTTTAATTTTATTATCGAAAATGATTGACTAAAAGTGGCTGAAGAGTTTGTTTTATTCATTTAATTTTTACCCAGCCAGTAAGAACTCTGCCAAATATGTTTACCTTTAACATAACCTTATTTCTTATTTGTATTTTTATTGCTCATGAATAAGCAATGCATCTGTTCTTTTTGTTTTTGTTTTCTTTATGGTGACTAAAAAATTTTGGAGGAAATGTTTTCGAAATAGGACACTCTGAATATTTTAAATTGATAATAAAAAGATAGACTATGTGGTCTCATCAGCTGGAAAGATTTTATCCTCAAAGGGTAAGTTGCAGTGAGAAAGTGTAGGGAAGTCTTGCTACATGAAGTGAATATTACTGCATTACAAATGTAATGTAAATACGAGTAATGATGTGCCCACTGTCTGCCGATGCTATAAACATTTTTTTTCTTACATATGTCATGCAAAGACAAATGCCATACTGAAGCTAACACTGTACTTAGCCTAAAGACTTCAAGTTTCCCAAATCATGGTGTTCACAAAACTAAGAACTTCAAAACTATGACTTCTGAGATGACAACGGACTTACATTTGCAGCAATAAGAAGAATCCAGATGATGAGGACAGCCTGATGGTATGAGTAGTACAGGTCCTAAAAGGAATATATGTAGTAATGGCACACATCAGTGAATCCATTTATTTGCTTAATCAATGTCCCATCAAGGCAAACAGGCATTACGACAAACACTACCACACAAGACAGGTCCAACATCCCCGCACCAGATGACGTTGCCAATTAAAATTATACACTGGATGTTTTAATGCACTGTCCAGGGATCATTATACAGATATTTTTTCAGATTCCAAGAGATGGAACAAGTTAAATGGCTCTGTTACCATGCCGTTAAGAGATGACTTGACAAGTGTACACAAACGGCATTCTCTCCTTACTTTCTCCAATACCATGGCTCCTGCATATTGCCACAATGCAGAAGCAGCATCAGGACAGCATCCGAAATAAAGTAAACCCTCATTATAAAGAAGTGAACTAGACGGCAAAAAATGCCATACAAGCGATAATTTTATATAAGTTACGAATTAATATAGTCTAAAAAGTATAGCTTAAATCGTGTTATAACTGTGAGGAAGTTCAAATGTGAGACACTCAAAAAGCAAACCTTGACTAAGGTGTAAAAAAAAGCCATTAGCTTTGTCTGCACACGTGCCAAGTTCAAAGATTCTTAACCCGGGAGATTTCCGCAGCAAGGGGCGGGAGGGGTGAAAAAAACATTTCATGAAGCAGACAGGTAGAGGGCACGGGGGAGGGTAGTCCCAACAACTCGCAAACGTAAACATCGGCGTTGCGGTCTTATAATAGCTTGGAGTGACCGAGCACATGAGGGTAGGGTTTTCAAACTAAGGTGCGAGTCTTAAAGGGGGAGCGCAATACTACCGCAATTCTGCGTCATCAAAACAACTAGCAAAATAATTTCTGTCAAAAGAACTGGCCTATGGCTTCCTGAGACACACGTGAGTGGAGAGACGGCACAGATGGCTGCCGCAAAAGCATTGCTTCAAAGCCTCGCTACGATGCTAGATTCGTTGGAAAAGAACGCCAAAACGCTTCTAGCTTTTTTTCAGTCTTTAATGCCTGAAATCTATCGCAGCATTATCCATGTGCCCTCGAAGCTTGCAGATCGCTATCGCCCCACCGTGACAGCGGTTTAGCACGCGGTAGCTGCGGCCAACGATAGTTGCGTTTTCAATTGCGTGACCTGGCTGGTTTGCAAAAGAAAAAAAGTGTGGATCGCATCGGCCTGCATTCTTGTCAATGTGGCGATATTCCACACAGAAATTTCAATTTAGGAGAGATTTTCATGGCGACCATACAAATGTAGGAAACAGTCAAATTCCGGAAGTCTTCTGGATAATCCTGGAGACTTGGCCGGTACGCTGTCTGTCTCACGATTTTGCAGAGTTCTACCAATCCTCGCTCCAATTCGCCCTTGCAATGCCCAAGACATTCACCTCTGTTCTGCAGCTGACGGAGGTAATCCCAACTCTGCGCCATAGTTCACACTTCATCCAATGGCTCTTTGTTGGGACCACTAAGAACAATGTCAACTATTCCCACATCCACAGCTTAGATGACAACAGTATAAGTAGCATTAGTCAATCCAGATGCATCAAAGTTGTCAAATTCTTCGCTGGAAATTCAATGCCCCAACTCATTGAAATCACCGCAAGTTCCGTTATCTTCCTCGAGCATTCACATGGGAAAAGCTGGCATGCACAAAGCAGGCCACAAAAGAACATATCCGGCACACATAATGAAGCCCTCCCAAAAACATGCATCCACACAGCCTAGAGCAGTCCAGTATGGATTCGGCACTAAAGTGACTGGGCCCACTGAACTCCGAACTAGGCGACCCAAGATGTCCAACACAATAAAACAGCGTGTGGTGTAGGCCGTGCTGCACAATGCCAGTAGTGGGACTTGCAGGTGAGTGACCCTTCAACTAGCATGAGCTGTGCTATGCAGAGTAGTACATTTGTCTGTTTCATTACACACAATTTTTTCTGCGTTTAACTGCACTGTATTCCTCAGCCTTGAACGTAGCCATAGCAAGCAGGAAAAGGGCAACATTACAAGATAAGCTTCAGTTTGAAGACTGTGAGGAAGAGCATGTCATCTTTTTGTCTCCTGCCGCTTGGTGGCGCTCATCCTGCAGCCGGTCTGACATTCCGGCTCGTCCAAGCACGTTGTGTAGGCTGTGGTAGTGTGCTGCGATTCTTATATTTCCTGATTTTATAACTGGTGTTATGTTGTGCCCAACAGACGTGTTGCGTCGCTTCATGACTAGCTGCAAAAGCATTAAAATGTACTGCTGAGAAGCAGCATTTTTCCCAGGGCGCCTGCCAATGATACACGCCTTTAAGTACGGCAGCGTGCCATCCTACGACTTCACAAGTAGCTCACAATTGTGTTCTTGTGTTGTGCGGGGCCTCCTTTTTCAGTAGAGTCCCATAGTGAAAGAGTTTGTGAACATCGTAAACCACAATGCCATCATTCATTATTTCGTGTAACAAATGCACTGACACGAACGACGCTGTTCTCCCTTTGCTCCCCAACTGCCCTGTCCAAATTCGGAAACTAAAGCAATCAACTGTACAGATAGCACCTCCCATCAAAATGTGCAAAACTAAGGAGATCTTGATCACACAAGTCGGCCTACATGATGAGAAATGCAACTCCCTTGTTTGTGGTGCTGCCTTGTTGCCAAACAGCGAGACCCTGGATATTTCAAATACAGACAAGTGAATTCAAGGCAGCTCCATTAAATTTGTTGACGTTAGTGCTGCTGTGAAACGACTAAGAGTGCTGCGCAATGTTGTCTCTATAGCTTGTGACAACTTTCTGTGGCAGCACAGCGAAGGTCAAAGTCCAAGCGCATACTTTTTCACAGCGCTTCTGAATGTAGCTCACGAACGCTAACACTTACATATAACTGTCACGAGGTCAAGATGGGGAGAAAGAGAGCAGACTTTGGGTCCAATGTGAAACTGTTTATTTGGCGGAACTTGTGGCCGGTGAACTGAAAGTCATATTACAGCGATACACACTGGCACTGATAGATGCGAACTGAGGACCGGTCGCCCATCAACTGATAAGCTGCGATGCACGTCAGCATTTATAAGTGTGCAGTCGAATATTTAAGCCTTATCAGTGGTCGTCGCGTGAGCTCTGGAATAATCTCGAGTGCTTATGTCTTGCACACAATCTTAACATTGCGATCTAGAATAATTGCGAACCTTCAAGAACCATGAGGTGCAGTTTGCAAATTAGGATCCTAGGAAAAAGTTAAAGGAACGTACCACAGGAAATTTCGGAGGTCTATCACATAAAGAAACAGGGTATTAATTGTGTTAGCGAAACTTCACTGATACTGTACGAGTCGGAAGCACATAATCTAGAGAGCGTGTGTCCGATATCGTTATTGGGTAAGCAATGGCCTGAGCATGTTGTGTATGTGTTGACAAGAAGTGGGTTTATAATAGCCTGTTTCTTCAAGAAATAAACAGCTGTAAGTGAGCGCCCGTCCTGTCTATATGCTTTCTTCTTCTGTGTGGTTGTGAATTTGGTGCGAAGTGGACTATTTGATTCAGACATGTACCAACTAGCCCAACAGAGAATTCTACTAGCACCATAAACCTTGGATGCTCGTGCAAAAATGTTGGATGCACTTGCAAAACCTAAATCGCACGCGAACAGACTACTTGGCATAGTAACACATGTGCAGAAGCTCCGCTTGCGTAGCTTTAGCTGTGCTTCCACAGAAAGTTGTCGCGAGATATAAAGCTGTGGAGAGCTAAAGCAATGTCGAGCCCTGGGGCTGAAGTCCTGGTAATACAACAAAAGCCTCAGTAAATGATCTGAACATTTTTTGTGTGTGTGTTGTGAATTACTCTCGACGTGATAAAGGCTACATATTTGTACAGTATGATGAAAACATATGTATATAAAGAGTAGAAGAAACTACTCATCAAAATTTTTAAATTTTGCAACAGTAAAAAATCCTCCTTTGGGTGGAATTCGAAGTCCTTGAAAAACTGTCACAGGACCTTGAATATCCTTGAATTTCCTCCCTAGAAGCCTACACGAACCCTGGCTTAAACGCCACATGCCTTAAACGCAAAACAATTGATTGATTAATATGTGGGGTTTAATGTCCCAAAAAAACCATATCACTATGAATTTATGAGAGATGCTGTAGTGGAGGGCTCCGGAAATTTCGAGCAGCCAAGATTCTTTAATGCGCACTCATATCTGAGCACATGGGCTTAAAGCATTTTCGCCTCCATTAAAAATGCAGCCGCCACAGCCGGGATTCAATCCGGCAACCTGCGAGTCAGCAGCCAAGTACCTTAACCACTAGACCACCGCAGCAAGGCCTCGAATGCGAAACACTAGATAAGCTTTGTGCAAGTGAAAATGCAAGCTCTCTATTGCTTCGTTCCTCCAGACTCAAAAGCAAGCAATGAATTCACAAATTGGAACGAATTATCTCATAGCCAATGAAACCACAGAAAACGCATTGCTGACGATAAAAGTCTGTCATGGGATATCTTTGCTGCATTTGATTAGGCATACAGTCAAGTATATGAACTTTAAAAATAGTCAGAGACATGCTAAACGAGATTAGTTATTCTTGCTTTGATCAGTTTCACTTCATGTCTATTGCACAATTCAAAGGCCACTCATACCTTCATTTGAGCCTTCACTTTGTGGTGGATATATAGTAGAAGTAAACTTATTCCCCACTCCTCAGATCCACATCGCTATCTTACTGTGTAGAAAATACACATTGACATTTTGTAAAACAAGTGCATTAGAAATATGTTCGGAGCATGCGGCCGCAGAGACAGGCAAGCACGGTTGTCGGGTTGACAGCAACGGCCGCACCACGGCACGGCAGGAGACAGAAAGGGGACACATTTTTGCACATGGCTTGGGTGGAGCTTGCAAATTTAAACTAATTTAGTAAGTAGGCAATGGGGTCACCCTCATGGAGAGAGGAGGATTCAGGCTACTGTCAGGGCTAAGAGCTTCTTTATCCTCGAACCACACTGACCATAACCAATGTAGACAACCATCTGTTCATCTCTCTTCAGCCTCTCGGCCCACTGCAAAGTAACTGCTATGCCTGCGGCTGTCATTGTATAGTATTGTTTTATGCTAAGTATCATATGGTAGGGCCCATATTTTAAGAAAGTGGGCACCTTTCTACCCCCCGGATATTTCTGTTGTTATAGTGACAGGTAAATGCTAAGTTGTAAACAGACAATACACAGGAAAATACAAAAGCCACTTACATTGCAAATAGAACGAAAGATAATAGCGAAGAATCTCCATGCAGTGAATATGAACATAATTAACAACCAGGGACGAAACTTGGCCTCTTTTTCCTGGAAGACAAAAAACAAAGATCTTGTTAACTTTATTTATTGTCTGTTCTAAAATAACATTTGAAACACTAAATCTACAATAAGATAATTCTGTAGCCTTTAGGAGTACTATTAGGTGCTCAGAACACGACGCATTTACAAATGTATTTGCCTTACGATAAGACTAGTGCTACAAACAATATTACAATATTTTTAGATAATATGTAATAATAATTAGTGGGGTTTAATGTCCCATGACCACCATATGATTATGAGAGACATGTGGTGTGTGCCAATTCATACCAGAAAGCAATAGAAAAAAAAAAATAAAGAGTGGCAGAAAAAGACTCCAGCTCATGCATTTCCATACTCATGTTGGGGCTATTTCTGGCAGCTTTATTTTCGACAACAAAAAAACGTGTCTCTCTACAGCAGGAAAAGAGATGGGACAGAGCCACACACACAAGATGACAGGGCGCCCCACCTGTTATTGTACAGTGAAACAACTATGGGCCACAGTGCATGCAACAGACTATTCCACCTTAGTCTCTGGATCACTATTTTTGGCAGTTTCTTTTTTTATTATTTCATCACAAATGTATCTCTTGTTTGACTACGAAAGCATGCAATGACACCCAAGGTTTTCACCATTTGTGCAGTTCAGCCAGTTAACAGACCTTTTTTTTTTTTTTACTGGCAGCATGCCTGATAAAATGTGTGATTCAAGTCATTCTTTTGGCTGTCACTGGTTCCAAATATTAATGCATAAATACAACAATATGACATTTCTATAACGACTTCAGCAATAATAATAACTTTTGGGGTTCACTGAACCAAAACCACAATATGATTACGAGAGATGCCGTAGTGGAGGGCTTCAGAAATTTCGACGTTCTTGAGTTATTTACTGTGCACCTAAATCTAAATACATGGGCCTCCAGCATTTCCACTTACATCGAAAATGTGACCACCAAGGTTGGGATCCAATCCAACAAACTTCAAGTCAGCATTCGAGTACTTTAACCACCAGACCACTGTGGCAGCCCCATAATGATATCAGGTCTTTTATGCTGGGATGTCAATATTTTCTAAAATTTTACAGCAACTGCAGAGTAAGCAACAATGTGCATTTTCATTTCATATATATGGGCTACTTATGAGTCACACCATTTTACCTTCAACTAATAAAAATTTCAGCAATCACTGCATCCAAGCTCATTATTTAAAATGCTTTCAGTGCAGGAACTCCAAAATTTTGGAGTAAGGCTGGGAGCAGCAAAATATCCGTTTTATACCAAATTAAGGGCAGAAAGTAACTTGTCTGCCTTGAGCAAATTCATCAGCAAATAAATATCACAGTGCAGTGGCCTTAATATACAGAAATGTGTTAAATGGAACTGCTGCTTAAATGGAACAAGTATTTCTGCCAACATTGGTTTCGTTCTTGTATACTGCACCCATGTTCATCTCTCAGTAAACAGACCTCCTGTTAAAGGGAACATATTTTCCTGGGCCCTTCAGGCTCTGTTCAATGAGAGTCTACTGCATTATACTTTAGTCTGCAAGGGGCTATCACAAGAGATTTTTGCTTTCTTAGAGTACCCCTCAGGCTCCAAGGAGATAAACGCATGAAAATAATGTTGGTAACATGGCTTCAGAGCGTACTGATTGCCTTCCTTACAATGTACTTTATTAAAAAAGGCTTCAGAATGATTGCTTAATTTAATACAAAGAAAATATGAAGGATTAAGCATCAATATATTTCTAACATAGAACTGCATGCTTATTGCATGAAAAATGACACAAACGTACAAAACAAGAAGCGTAGATTTTCAAGAAAAGAAAAAGAGAAAGAAGCATATGGAATTAAGATAAGGTACACTTAGCTATAAAGTACTCTCAAATAAGCACAAAAATTTTTCAATCTGTACAAAGAAGTTTTCTAAAAAAAGTCATGATCACAAAGAAAGTCATGAAGCCATAATTAACAGGAAGCCTTACCTTTCTCAGAGCCATGACCATCATGACAGAAGTGACTAAGAGTGCAATGCTTATCACAAATGATATCACAGAGACAGTAATGAGCAGGTTGCGAACTGAAAAAAAAAATGTTTCGAAAAGCATGAGACAATCTATTTATATTGCCACTGCATATGCTCTCAAACGAATAGATTAAACTTAAAATAATTTATGCCTGCAACAAACATTCTTTACCTGAAAGGTGTGTTCTTTCATCGAAATGTAACATAGCGTTCCAAACGTCAAGTATAGTATGCTTAGTAAGTTACAATTTACTCTCACTTGGTATAAAAAGATGACAGGCATTTCGTGCAATCACTACATCAATAAAGAATTAGGAAGAGACAATGAATTTACTGGATATGTGAAACCTCTACGCACACCACTGTAAGTCCGACATCCAGGCTTATATCATATTCCTTATCAGACACTTTGGGGATGTTTTCATTTTTACGTGATAAGATGAGACATGCAGTGCACCATCTCACCAGAGTGGTGTCAAATGATCACAATCAGGCAAAGCTCACATTCACAAGACTTCAGTTTGCTGGTTAAGAGCAACTTCGAAAATATGACTGACAGCACTCCTGGCACAAAGCCAAGCAATGCTTTGGCACACTGCTAGTAACACTGACATCCAAGATATTAAGCTGATGAATTATTCACAGATGTGTATTACAATAATCAGAGAATGCCACTCTTGAAGTAACAAACATCCATTGCCTTAAGCTTCATTTCACGCTAGAAATAGTGCCCCAAAAAGTGATCAATCAAGATTATCCCAGTACATTTAACGCTATAGCTGCTAGCACTTTGTGGGACTTATGGCAATGCCATATTTAAATTTCATTCAGAGATAATGCAGGGTTGCTTACTAAATACATGAGACAACAAATGAAATATTTTAGTGACCACAGCATTTAAACATGCATGCTATGATTTTTGACTGCTATGTGTCATTAAACCATGCTGGTGCAAGAAACTCCGGGCCCAAATACATGGTCTTGTGATAACAAAATTGGCAACAGCACTTTGTTTAATTTATTAATTGCTCCTAAATTCCTTGCATAATAATAATAATAAATAACTACAGCATAATCTTATCAGAAAAATAATTCAGAATGAAGAAGTTGGCAGCAATGAAAATCATAGCGCAATGAGGTCAAAATGACATGGTGCAGTGTTTCAACAGAACATCTCAAAAAATGAAATTATAACGTAAAATTATATGCCAACAGCTGTCTAATACAGTGGTAGCTGTTGGCATCTGAGCTTGACATTTTTCGCAAAACTACTTCCGAACTTTTCCTGTCTCCTTGACGTTCTTCCGTAGTAGTCTTCCTTTCATGATTCAGCAGTATCATGAAATAATACAATCTTGCTACCATGCCCGTGTCACCAGGGCGCCAGTAGTCTACGTGCCGCTTCAAAGTTTTCAGTACTTTGCTAGCATCCGTGATGAGCCTGAGTCGCCTGGGTCCCCGGGAATACAAAACGGCATGCACAGGCCCGATTCCATACTTCGATGAAAACAATGTATCACACCGCTGCCCCCGCTACACGCAGATTTTTGTGACGCCGTTCATTTCCCCAGTGAATCCGTCGTTGCTCATGGGTTGCCTACTTTCACAGCGAAAGCTGTTATGAGATCACAAGGGTCACGTGCACCATAGTTGTCTGCCAACGGTGTCCGTAAGCACTATCGTGCGAAATAGAAAAAAAGTATGTAAATAAAAAACACCAAGGACACAATAGAATTTGAACCTGGGTCCCATGCGCGCCAACCCAATATTCGACCCCAGAGCTATGCCAGTGCTTGAAATTACACTGCAAATTGGCCTTAGGTAGGCTTGATGTTGAAAAAAAAATCTCATTAATTTGAGTAACAGCGCGTTTTAGAACAGCAAAGGAATAACCAGGCAAAACCAGGCACAGTGCAAAATGCGTAACGAGTGTGTGGTCGAATGCTCCAACCTATTACAAAACCTTCAGGCATAATTCTTCATTATCACAAGCCATAGCATCAAAACATTGCACGAAATTCAGTGCAAGTGTATAGCAGGTACTACACTTCGAAGAATGACAAAAGATGGAATAGTGAATGCCTCCTTACTACACAAAATATATGATCATTTTTGGCATAGTGGGTACACTGCAGATGTGTTTGTAGCAGTTACATAAAGGGTGTTTAAGAAAGGCTCTGAAAGGCCGCTCTTTCAGCTTTCGCTGTGACTGTGCTGCGCATTCCGAACATGTAATTCCCTACTTCAAAGGCACAATCGATTCCGATCTGTTAATTGTAGAATGAAACGTACAGCAAAAAAAAAGGGGTGCTCAGAGTTTTTCCAACACACAGAGGCCACTAAGTAAAATGGCCGATGTCAACGGACTGCACAGGCACAACGGATTACACAGGAACCACACGGGAAAGCTGGAAATGCAGGGGCAAATGCCCCCCCTGTCTGGCAACCAACTTCTGCAACACCAAACAGAACCTTGCTGTCGATTCTTCTGTTCTGTTCAACTTGACATTGTTATGGATAAGATTCAAGACTGAAATTAAGTTTGACGGATAATTGCATATGTATGGAGCAGCTCTTGGCATGTTCTGACCAAGCGTATACCTTTTTCATCAAGTGTTTCGAGATTGAAGGTGAAATAACATGAACTGGCTCAACTAAACATGCAATCTAAACAATAATGTGCGAAGGTTCCCATGTGTGTTCTTACCATGAGCGTTTATCGACTTTTTGCGTTACCCGCCTTAAGCATATAAACTACTTACAAATTTCATTCTGCATGACACAACTCACCATGCTGATTGCCACTGTACACGAATAAGAAGCTGAACCCAAAGTATCGGTAATGTGTCGAGCCAGGAGATGCCTCCGCAAGACAGTAGACGTCAAAGACTGTCAGCGTGATCATGAAGATGCTTTCCACCTAAGTGAAAACCAAAAAAGGAAAGAAATGGTGTTAACGGCATGAACTGGGATGCTCCCCCTTTAGGAAGCACTATTTGCACCGAGATCGACCTATGGGTGGCAGCACCGTCGCTGCAGTAGTGTGGATAGGCGGCCGGTGATGCGCATAAAAATGTTTGCAGTACTGCTTTTTGTAAGCGATGTGAACGAATTTGCGGCGAATAAAATGCGTTTACAGCGGCCTACTAGTAACATGTATGTTGTCTATTGCCAAATGGATGCACAAAGCTTGCAGAACGTTACTATCACTTGTGAAACAAATGCGATCGGCCATCAAAAAGCTTTGTTCGCGCTTGGCGATCGTCAACGTTTTCGTATAATGTGTCACGTTTCTTATATTTTTATTTCGAATAATTGAGCTTGTGTTCTGCCTATTACGCACTGTTATAGTGTGGCTGAATTTATTCTTTCCTCCATGCATGCAGGTCTTCGATATTACAAAAAATATCCCATATTTTTGGGCGATGAACTAGAAATAACCGCGAATAAGCATTCACTTTTTTCTTATTTAACTCTTAATGAAATGAATGTAGGACAGTTGATATGTTTATTTAGGAAAGCTACACGGCAGACAGCACTTTAGCACGATTGTTCTTTCTCCAATAACAGTATAAAAAGGTACCAGTTCAGAATACAGCTTTCTTGGATTGATTACCTGCATTGCAGTGATGCAACAAAGGTTTCGTTTATTCGATGGGTCAAAAGTATAATACTTTCAAGCGAAGAATGTCTGGCCTTACAAGCAAAATTTCGTTCATAACTGTGTTGCTAAATCACTGCATTCAAACGATATCTAAAGCTCCTCATGTTAGGGATGACACCAAGGGCACTTTACGATGTGCTTCAGCTACGAAGCGGCAGGTGCACTGAAATGATCCTGCCGAATGGAGGGTACGACTACAATACACAGCACTCTCGGCACGTGCACGAACTGGTCTTATTGCATAGCATATTGTCACAATGCAGAGACAGCAGCAGTCGAATACAGGAAACTCACTTTAATTGTACCAGAACACTGGCAAACTGAACGGAAGAGAACCTTGTCTTCTTCTCTCGCTGCGCGTGTTCTTCGTTGTTCTCTTGGTGCTGCATATTCAATGTGGCATTTGCCCCCCTCCAGAGAGCAGCGTCCCGATGCTCTTCTACAAAAGACGGTGTAGTAGATGTATGGTGTAAATCAGTCTGAAAAGTAGGGCTTCATTCGCACAACGTGCACGATTTCTGGTTTTTGCTGGCGAGTTGTCGAGGGGCTGTCAGGAACGACCACGTAATTAACGTCGCTCAGGCGTTGTAAAACTGTGTAGAGGCCAAAATACTTCTTCAGCAATTTTTCAGACAGTCCCCGGCCCGATAGACGACATGTCGGTGTCGCAGATTATAACGTTGGGCGTCATATATTTGGTGCTGCGTGATTCGGACGCGCGCTAGCTGCCTCGCTTCTTCTGCTCGTTGGGTAAAAGATACAGCGTCCAAATCAATGTCATTGCAGTCATGCAGTAACATGGCGTCAAGCATCGCCATCACTTCACGGCCATGAAGGAGACTGAACGGCGTTCTTCGTGTAGTTTCTTGCTGCGCTGTATTATAGGCGAACGTGATGTACGGTAGAATGTCATCCCAGTTCTTGTGATCCACGTCAACGTACATACTCAACATGTCGGCAACAGTCTTGTTGAGGCGTTCTGTTAAGCCGTTGGTGACACTGGTGGAGGCGCTGGGTACATGTTCGGGACGCCAGACAACAGCCCCGCATCTAGTCCAGAAAGACTTCCGCGCATCGACACCTCCGTTCACCGCAGCAGCCGGCGCCTGTTAGGCCTCAGCCCGGAGTTTGGTCCATTGCCGGAAAGCGTGACTGTGCCAGAAAGCGTGACGGCGCCTGGAAGCACTGGCCCCAACATGTCCAGCCCAAGCACGACACAAGTGAATGTTTTAAACCCTCGACTTCCGGTTGACTTCCACGGAAACGCATATGAGGATGCACATGACTGGCTCGAGGAATTCGAGCACACAGCGAATGTTAACGGGTGGAACACCACACAGAAATTAGCCTACGTTTATTTTCCGCTTCAAGACAGAGCCCGAACGTGGTTCACAAATCGCGTGTGGTCGTCTTGGGACGAGTTCTGGCAGAAGTTCCTCGACACGTTCGCGAGCACTGAAAGACGAGAAATCGCACAGCGTCTCCTCGAGTCACGGATTCAGAAACCAAATGAATCCGTTACGGTGTTTGTTGAGGACATGGCGCGGCTATTTCGTCGAGCAGATCCTAATATGCCCGAAGCCAAAAAGGTTAGCCACCTCATGCGGGGCGTTAAGGAGCAGCTCTTCGCTGGTTTCGTACCAGCCTACAAGTGTGGAGGAATTCTCCAAGGAGGCGACATCTATCGAACGTGCACTGCATCTATGTTATCGCCAGTATGACCGCCCAACCCACAGTGCACCAATCAGCGTGGCAGCCACGACCACAGCAACAACACCCAACGAAGGTTCTTTGCGCCAACTGATACGAGAAATCGTACAAGAAGAGGTCAAGAAGGTCGTCGCCAAACCGTATGACTGCGCGATCGCCTCAGTAACGGAAGTTGTACCCCAGGAGATCAGGGAAGCGCTCTCGCTTCCTGAGCCGAACACGAGCACTCCCAGGGCAAGCTATGCAGACGTAGTCCGCCGACAGCCAGCGAACGTGCCGACACCACATCAGTATCACCAGCAACATCCGCCGACAGCGCCTTGGTACTACAGAGAAACTTCGACACCGAGGTGGCCACCACTTCGCAAAACTGACATCTGGCGTACCCCTGATCATAGGCCCCTGTGCTTTCACTGTGGGGAAGCAGGCCACATCGTTCGGTATTGCCCGTATCGCACCGCAGGGTACCAAGGGTTTCCTTCCACTGTTCCTCGGCGCCATTTCAACGGAACACCTGACGTCGACACGAGTGTCATGACCCCGCGGGATGTTTTTCCTGGATTTCGGTCACGCTCACCCTCTCCTGGGCGTTATTCTCCATCCTCTAGACGGAGCACCACTGACATGCCAAGAGGGAGGTCTCCTAGTCCACGCCGGGGAAACTAAAAGCAGCGACTTCAGGGGGGAAGGTTGCGAATCGTCGAACTGCGGAAAATCCCCCAATACTGCCGAGCGAAGAAAGACACATTTTCAATGAATCGACGAAATATGGGGTTGTTACTGCCGAAGTTGCAATTACGATTGACGGACATGACGTCATGGCATTGGTCGACACTGGCGTGGACTTCTCAATAATGAGTGAGAGTCTGGCAGACACGCTCAGGAAGGTTAGAATGGAATGGACAGGACCGCAGATTAGAGGAGCTGGAGGGCAGCTACTCACACCTACCGGAAAGTGCACCGCAAGAATGAAGACAGGGGATGCATCCTTCGTCGCCACTTTTGTTATTCCTTCTGAGTGTTGCAAACAGGCAATCTTGGGGATGGATTTCTTGCGTGAATATGGTGCCATCATCAATGTTCCGGACGGTGTACTGACCTTTTCAGCGGATTAAAGTGCAGTGCTACACCGAAAATCCCTGCGAGTCATTGACGATGTGACCGTACCTTCGTTATCGTGCCGCCTTGTTTCAGTCATGTGAAGCGAGCAGAATACTGGAGAAGAAATCGCTGAACAAGTATTGACGCTCCTACTCTCTCGTGGTGTTGCAATTGCCAGAAGTATCGTCAATGTTGTGTGCGGTGAAGCAGAGGTTCTGTTGACGAATTTTACCAACGAGCGACGACACATTACACAAGGCACTACAGTTGCCTACTTCGACGAGATCACCGAAATCCGCGAGTGCTGTGTAGTACAACAGGACGAGCCGCAAGCCACGTCAGCCCCACCACCTATTGACGTAAGCTCGGATTTGTCACCAGCGCAGAGACAGCGTCTATTAGATCTTCTGCACCAGTTCAAAGACTGTTTTTCATCGACCTCGAGGGTCAGTCAAACGCCACTGACGAAACATCGGATAATAACGGAGGAGACGGCAAGGCCAATACGACAGAATCCATACCGCGTAGCACCGAAAGAGCGTGAAGCAATCCAAGAACAAGTGAAGAAAATGCTCGATGATGACGTCATCCAGCCGTCAAGAAGTCCTTGGGCGTCGCCAGTAGTGCTGGTTAAAAAGAAAGATGGAAGCTTGCGATTTTGTGTCGACTACCGCCAGCTGAACCGTGTGACAAAGAAAGACGTGTACCCATTACCGCGCATCGATGATTCACTCGACAGGCTGAGATATGCACGCTACTTTTCGTCAATGGACCTCAAAAGTGGGTATTGGCAAATTGAGGTCGACGAGCGAGATAGAGAAAAAACGGCTTTTGTAACGCCTGACGGGCTTTATGAATTTAAAGTCTTGCCATTCAGATTGTGCTCAGCCCCCGCAACATTTCAGAGACTGATGGATACCGTTCTGTCAGGCCTTAAGTGGCAGACATGCCTGGTCTACCTGGACGACGTCATTGTTTTTTCAAAAACATTCTAGGAACACCTGAGCAGGCTGCTATCGGTATTCAGGGCAATAAGGTCTGCTGGCCTGACACTGAAACCCGAGAAGTGTCATTTCGGTTTCAAGGAGCTCCAATTTTTAGGCCATGTGGTGAGCCATGAAGGTGTTCGACCTGATCCCGATAAGATTGCGGCCGTCAGAAAATTTCCGGTACCAAAAGACAAGAAAGCAGTCAGGCGTTTCCTTGGCCTATGCGCATACTACCGAAGGTTTATTGCCAATTTCTCCCACATAGCCTCGCCGTTAAAACAACTCACAAGAGAAGACGTTTCGTTCACATGGGGCGACGATCAACAGGTGGCATTTGACGATCTCCGAGAACACCTACAGACTCCGCCTGTGTTTGCTCACTTTGATAAGGATGCTCCTACTATGGTCCACACAGATGCCAGCAACGTGGGTTTAGGCGCTGTACTCGTCCAGTGGCAAGACTCAGCCGAGCATGTGATCGCATATGCTAGTAGGACGCTTTTCCGCGCAGAGTCCAACTACTCCACAACGGAAAAAGAGTGTCTTGCTGTCGTATGGGCGGTTATGAAGTTTAGTCCGTACCTCTATGGTCGTTCCTTCCACGTAGTCAGCGACCATCATTCCTTCTGCTGGCTGACCAACTTGAAAGACCCGTCTGGTCGGCTCGCACGGTGGAGCTTACGCCTTCAAGAGTTTGATATGACGGTCGTGTATAAGTCCGGACGGCAGCACGCCGATGCCGATTGCTTATCAAGGTAACCGATAAAGCGCGACGATGACACAGAAGATGACAGCATGGCGTTTGTAGGAGTCGTCGACACCACTACGATTTCGTGCAAGCAGAAAGAAGACAGTAAGTTGCTTCCCCTTATTGAATATTTGAATGGCCGGACAACAACCGTCCCTAGAAGATTTGCAAGGAGCCTGCCGTCATTCTGCTTATGTAGTGGTGTTCTCTATAAGAAGAACTTTTCTCCCAGAGGAAGTACCCAGCACCTCCACCAGTGTCACAATGCAGAAACTGCAGCAGTCGAATAAGGAAACTCACTTTAATTGTACCAGAACACTGGCAAACTGAACCGAAGAGAACCTCGTCTTCTTCTCTCGCTGCGCGTGTTCAATATACAGCCGGGCAAGGCTAAATGCTTCTATAGATAGTGGCACGTAAACTAAGTAGACGCATTTAAACTTGCGCTAGCAGAGCGAGGCAAACCGCCTGGCGTGCGTAAACCGCATGGCGTGCGCGAACATGCTAGCCTTATGCGGCTAGCAGACGACGCAGGGAGCAATCCACTCTACGCAAGCTTCAGGCAGTGGCCACCAGACCACGATTCTGCTCGATCTCGAGCAATATTAAAGCGTTGTGAAGTCTCCCATGATGCACAAGTGGGCCAGCCGACTGTTTTCCGCATACTACTTATAACCCGATTATTTCCCACAAAAATAATCAGCCAACATTAGTACTCTCACTTATTTTCTTGCAGCGTTTTCATCGACACGTAGCGCAAAGCACGCATGAATACACAAAAAGACGCACGATCTGCTCTTCTGCGAAAGAAGTGACCTAATTTAAATCTGCCAATCAAATCGTAGATCGCAACGAACTCGCCATCGGTGAGAAACTCCGATACAGTACAAGCGTACCTTTTTCACGGAATGAAACTTTCAAACGACGTAACATTTCGCGACACGATCGACCACTGAACCGAACACACCCAACATTGAAGGCAGGCTGACAACTTACGATTGAAAAGATTCCAGCGATGTAACTGCCGTACTGCAGGTCCGTGAAATATGCTGTTCTCAAGAGCGGACGCCGATGATACCATTTCTGCCGCGATCGGTCCAGTACAGAAGGCATAGTTTCAAATTCCTCGCAAAATACTTAGCAATGCAACACACCAGAAAACGGGGCTGAGTTTGTTGTTGCTTGAGGAGCGGATGTGACACAGCGGATAGGTGGTATGCGGCGCGGCACACACACACACACACGCACACACACACTATCAACGCCTCCTCTAAACAATGCCTGGGGAATGGCTCGCGCTCCCAGCGGAGTTGGCCTGCCTTCAGTTTTGAGCAAGCGCCGCGCGATGGTGCTCGCGACCAAGACTATTGAGTATTGCGGCTTGGTGGCGCAATACTTAATGAACCAAAAAATAGATTTATTTTTTTTTTTAAAGTGACTTTGAGGATTCGTACTTTGCAGTGAAGAGTTTAATTTTCACTCGTGTGTTGACTTTAGCCACCAATCAGATAACCTCCTTCTAGTTAAGTCCACTCGCTTAAAGTCTATTTTGCCCTCCCGGTCTCTAAACCCCAGTGCTTTGAAAAACTCTGCGCCATCATCCTGAACTATAGGGTGAAGCCCTTTACAGAACATTATCAAGTGTTCGGCAGTTTCTTCTTCCTCTCCACACGCACTGCATACTGTGTCTACCCCTTCGTACTTGGCCCGATATGTCTTGGTTCGCAGTACTCCCGTCCTGGCCTCAAACAGTAGAGAACTATCCCGAGTATTATCATAGATCCTTTCCTTGGCAATTTCCTGCTTAAAAGTTCGATAGATCTCTAGTGCGGACTTCTTAATCATGCCCATTCTCCACATGTCAGTCTCCGTTTCCTTCACTTTCTTCTTAACCGATAGTTGTTTTTTGTTTGACCACCTGCTGTTTTCTAAGTATTTACCAGTCAATTTCCTGGTTCGCTTCCTCCATTTTGTATCGACATTCTTCATGTACAAGTAGCTGAAAACCTTCCTAGCCCAACGCTCCTCCCCCATTTCTCTCAATCGCTTTTCAAATTTTATCTTGCTGCTAGCTTCCCTGCCCTCAAATGATGCCCATCCCATATCACCTTGTACTCCCTGATTTGGTGTATTCCCGTGAGCTCCTAAAGCAAGCCTACCTATTCCACGTTGCTTAATTTCTAATCTTGCTTGAACTTCTGATCTCATGCACCAGACCGCATTGCCGAACGTTAGCCCAGGAACCATAACCCCTTTCCATATTTCTCTCACAACATCATACCTATTGTAATTCCACAGTGCCCTATTTTTCATCACTGCTGCATTCCTGTTATGTTTAGTCGTCACGTATATTTCGTGTTCCCTCAGGTACTCGGTCCCATTGCTTATCCATACGCCCAGATATTTGTATTTATCTGTTATCTTTAGCGTGACCTCCAGTATTCTAAGCTCACTACCTTCGTTATCATTTGAAATTATGACAGCTGACTTTTCCTTACTGAATCTAAAATCTAACCTATCTCCCTCATTACCGCAGATGTCCATCAATCTCTGCAAATCTTCCTTGTTGTCGGCCATTAGCACTATATCATCTGCGCACATTAATGCTGGTAGTGCCTGATCAATGAGTTTTCCTTGTTTGACTAAAGAACGTTTGAAGCCCAGTCAACTTCCCTCTGATATGGCCTCTAATCATTGTAGGTACATCATGAATAATAAGGGTGACAGGGGACACCCCTAACTAAGCCCCCGTTTTACCTCTGCAGGCTTGGATACCTGTTTTTCCCACTTTATAACTACCTTGTTACCTTTATAGACACCCTTTAAAAGATTAGTGACTACATGTTCCATGCCTAGTGTGTCCAGTATTCCCCACAATTCCTCTTGAACACGCTATCGTACGCTCCCTTGATATCCAAAAATGCTAGCCACAGGGGCCTGTGTTCCTTTTCTGCTATTTCGAAGGAGACACCCCTACTTGAGTAGCGCCACCACCATAGTTCCGACGAGCGCCGCTTCCCAAGTGACCACTGATAGTCCGGCAGGCAAGGGAAATCTACCTTTCCTTTCTCCGTGGAAATCTAGGAGGCTATGCCACGGCTAGAGTGCCTAGAATATTCTCCTAGTGTCATGAACAGGCGCCTTCCCCATCGGCGACTGGGGAATTGATTTGGATTCAGCGTTAGGAGGCGCTACTTGCAACTGGCGCGTCAGTTTGCGTGCCGGCCGGGCCTTTCAACGTTGTGTCGGGTGGCGACTTGTCTGTGTGGTGAAGCGTGTTCTCGCTACGTTTCGAATATGTGCCGTGAATTCTCGTGCAGCGATTGAGTGTGACTATGCCTGAAAAAAAAGGAAGAACGTGCTATGTGCCTTTGTGCAAAGGCGGGTACAAGTCTTTCAAGGAGAAGGTGTCTCTGTTCAGGGCTCCGGCAGACCCTGTTCGTCGTCAAGAATGGGCGCGAAACATCAAAAGAGGTGACAAAGTTCTAGACGAAACTTGTGTAGTGTGTTCTCGTCATTTTGATGATCGCTACATCCAAAGAACTTTCAAGCATGTCATCAACGGCGAGGACGTCGAATTCGACCGTGAACGACCATCGCTAACGCCGGACGCCGTTCCTACAATTTTCCCGGATGGCCCCGCTTACCTGACTAAACCAGTGCCTCGAAAAAGAAAAGAGAGGAATATTGCTGACTGCACAGCTCCGCCTGCTAAGCGTAAAGCGCCGAATGAACCCACGACTTCCCAGGCCCGTGACGATGCTGCCGCTGGCGAGGAAACAGCACAGGCGCCGCACCCGTTTCACAGCATAACGCCGCCGTCGGCATTTTGCAGCCATGTTGATGTTGTCAGAGAGGCATGGATTAAGGACAGCAAGTCACTGACACTAAAAGTGATGCCGCACATCACGGAGTCACACGTGCAGCCAAAAGCATTTGAGAAAATGAGGGTAAACCTCGCATTTCAGCTTTTTAGTAAGGAAGTTTTGAAAGGGATTTTTCTTTTCAAGGACCACCTAGTTAAGACGTTTAAGATAACACAGTCTACGGAGAAGTTTATTCAAACGATGGAAAGACTGATTTTTATAATGACTGCACGAATCCCTTCGAAAGGCCTTAGATGTGGTTCAGCAAGTGCAAAGTTTCTGGAAGACTTTCTCCCATTTCTGCGAGAGTGGGAGGAGCATGCTGCCAAGCACGGTGAGGGGTTTTTAAGCGAGAGTACTGCTCTAGGGCTCCTGGTGACTATTCAGAGCACACTGTCACTCCTCAGCTACGTTACTAGCACACTGAAGTACACATATTTGCTAACTGCAAACCTAAGCCAGGACAAGAAGGAAAATGTGTTTGGTGTCGTCCGGCAGGCCTTTGGGAGCAACGGTCACCCCTCCCCTGAGCAATTTTCGGTCGTCATCAATAACATGGCATTTTACAGCCTCGCCAGACCCCCAAAAGGAGGTAACTCTCCTCCTGAACTGGTTACTGCTCTTTTTAGAGCCTTCTGATGTGCCCGAACAAAAGGGAGCTCGTGTAACAGCCCTTGTTGATAGCCTTCTGGATTAAGGAAACCTGCCGAATGCTGAAAAAGTGCTGGAAAGGCATGCCTCCCTGCTTGACCATGATGGCATGGTAGAAGAAAAGAGCGATAGCCGGCTAATTTTCTATATAGCTGGCTATGTTGCGCGCAAATCTCTGAAAAAATTTCCATGCCCTGATTGTGCATCTTGTCTCTGCATTATGCCTCTGCAAGCAGAATCGAACTGCAATGCCACGCTGACAAATCAGTTCAACCATGGGGGCCTGCTCTACCCATCAGACGCTCTTGAAAATCTCATCACAAAGCTTGAAAATGCTTTCACTGTGTTTTTCAGCCGGAACAAGCTTCATGCCGAAAGCTTGGTTAGCTTCTTGCTTTTTTTTCAGGGTCATGAACTTGAAAAAGTTGGCTGCATTGAGCACTGTCGTAAGCTCACTACAGCGATTATTAAGTTTTTCGCACTCACCAGACTGCACTTCTTCACGAAAGCAACAAATAAGAGCCTGTCCTCTAAGCGAGAGAAGCAAAAGCTCTTGAAAATGCGGCGGTGTCAGTAAGGTGTTCAGTGCTGTTCATGTAAAAAATTTAAATAAGTTCCTGGTACAGTGGCTTTTGTAATTAAGAAATCTGGCATTGTGAATCTGTTAGGAGTTCGGAGCTGCCAAAGTGAAAAATGTAAATAAATTCTTGACACTGACTTCTGCAATAAATGTTGATATTGTAAATTGACATTTTGTATTGGTTTGTTTTTCCTTACTGCTGGTAACTCATTCGCAGGGGGTCCTGTTCTCCAGTGGTTTCGTCTGGCGCACTGTCATTGCTTTGGCATTACTTATTTTTCTGATTACTTCGAGGCGTGAAGGACCAATCGAAGAGATAATGACCCTTGTACGTGGGTGCGTCCAGGCCTGCCACTGAGTGCAGGGAAAGTAAGTGTCCATAATACATTAATAAAAAGTTGCGAGAAGAGGGTTTGTACAGTGCCTGCGATTCTGCGCATGACAACAAAGTCGCGACAGCAGCCTACGGGGGGGAATGGTGGTCGCGGATGATTTTTTGTGTTGAACAGTCGTACCGATGGGAGCCCCCGGTTGGCCACCCCTTAATTACCGCAATTTAAAAAGTAGCATCGGTAAAGCGCGAGCGGCCAATCTATGAAGAGGCGGCACGGCAGGAGGACACAAAATCTCAACAAGGCAGAGAGCTCGCATACATTTCGTTCAAATTCACACGCTTTATTTACAGTCTGCATGGAAAACGCAGGATAACAAGGCAATCGCGTGCTAAGCCATGAAACCACCACTGCAATTTCAACGCAAAGCGTCTGCTCCGGCTTGCTGCCTCCCCAGCTTGCCGAAAAAGCAGCGCGCCAGAGAGCGGTACTGCCACCTGGCGGCTGTATCGCATACCATTTCCCCTTGGCCGGCCCGTTCACGACACTAGGAGAAATATTCTAGGCACTCTACCACGGCAGACGCTGTTGTCGCTGTCGTCGAAATCCTCTCGACTGGTCACTAGAAGCCAAAATTTAGCCAAGGCCAAGTCTGCGCTGACGAAGTCGGCGAAGTGCTGTGTTGTTTACTTCAGCACTCGTTATTTCACTAAGGGAGCGCTCATCCGCATTTGCTGGATCCGAGGAAAGCAGCGCATGAAATGCTAAAACAATCGTCTAACAACGGAGTATGTCTGTGTCGCTCGTGATTCTCAAGTTAGAAGTGGCCTGCGACTTCCCGATTTTACCTCACATTAACTACGTATCTGCGAGAGCTCGAAGGCTCGACTACTGCGCTGCAGCACCTTTCCGAGGAGGAGAGTGGCACTCAAGCAAGTTGGAAGAAATCAGGAAGGAGAGTCGTGGTTGCCGTAAGCCTCACGACATTGTGATCGAAACAGTTGTTGTGGAACCTGATGACATGGCCTCCAAGCAAGCCGCACGATGTCAGGGAGAGGAGGCGTCGGCGGGCGATCGCGCATGTTCAGAGTTGGCCAAGGAAGGCGATGTCAAACAGTATAAAGATGCTCTAGGCAACTTGGATTCTGTAACAGGGTGCGCTACAGAGAGGCCCAAGCCACCCGCACTCAGCCCGATTCCTTTCTTCAGTGGCAACCACAATGTTGAAGTCACGAAGGGTATACTGCACCTTTTCAAAGAGAACCAACAGACCCCGTTGGGTGAGGCTGAGCGCAGTGAAATGCTGTGTATGTTGGCTGTTCCTGCACTAATGACTCTTCACGACTTGTTGCAGTTTATCGCACCCGTCAGTGCGCACGTCGAAAATATTCGCGTCATCCGCGATTCTAAACCAAATCTCTACATGGTGCTGCTCAAATTCCGTGAGCAAAAGTGGGCCGACGACTTTTACCAGAGCTTCAATGGTGAGCGGTTCAACTCTATCGAACCGGAGGTGTGTCACCTGGCGTACGTCTCTCAGGTGGAGATGGTAAAAGAAGGAGAAGGAGACGCAGTGCCAGGGCACACCGAGCTCCCAACGTGTCCCGTGTGCCTAGAACGCATGGACGAGTCCGTCGAAGGAATCTTGACCATCCTCTGCAACCACACTTTTCATGACGGCTGTTTGGCTAAGTGGGGCGACTCGAGCTGCCCAGTGTGCCGATACTGCCAGACGCCGGAACTGGTGCCGGACAATCGCTGCTTTAGTTGCGGCTCGCAGGACAATCTCTGGATTTGTCTCATCTGTGGCCACATAGGCTGTGGACGTTATGTCGAAGCACACGCGTACAACCATTATGCACGCACGGACCACACTTTCGCAATGCAACTTGGCAACAACAGTGTCTGGGATTATGCTGGTGACAACTATGTCCATCGCCTTGTACAGAACAAGACTGATGGGAAGCTAGTGGAACTTGAAACTTCTCGCGCCGACAGTGATGAGAAGCTTGACTCTGTGCAGCTGGAGTATACATACCTTCTTACGAGTCAGCTGGAGAAGCAGCGGCGGTACTTTGAAGACTGCATGGACATGCTTCAGAAAGACAACAATCGGCAGATAAATGAGCTGAAAGAAAAGACTCAGATTGCTGTCGAAGAGCGTAAAGATCTGGAGCGAAAGCTTGGGCAGGTTGGTGCAGCCTTTTTGCTAGCATGCCTCGGGTTTGTGCATGCGAGTATTTGAGGCCTTCTTGTGCTAATAGAATATTTCTTGCTATGTGCTTAGTATTTGGTCGTGGAGTTTGACATGCAGTAATACTATCTGGGCCAAGCATTTGTTTGTAGTATTGCTATCAAAGACTGCATGGAAGGAGACCTACGTAACAGTCACTACTGGCTGCCTGAAGACCATAACTTAGATCTAAAGTGAACATTATATATGCTAAGATAACCAGCATTTTCACGATTGTCTCTTAGTCTTCTGCTATGACAGTGTGGAAACATCGACAGTGCCTTTTCATCGTCGATTTCTCCTTCTAGCAGGGATTCGAGACAACTGGCAGCAGCATTTTTATTTTGATACCTTTGTTGTTGGGGTTTATGGGGTTTTTTGGCCACTAGATCATAAAACAGAAGTTTTGCAGTTTCATAAATACGCAGTGAAATAAGTTGGATAAAACTCTGCTTCAGCAGCCCTCTAACCAGACAGTAACTCATAAACATTTTTTTTTAAACTATCGATGCAAGTGTTTACTCATGAAGAGCCATAATCAGGTAACATGTAGCAATTTATAAACAAATGACCTGTCCTACACTTGTTGACAGTTGAAATGTTCCAAAACAGAAGGTGCTGATCATACACTCTGCTCAGTACTTATTCTTCTGACTGTCATGTGCTCTACACATTGTAATTTAATCTGGTTTCTTTTATGGCGCTGTTCATGTGCCATTCAGTACACTAAAACAACCAAGTCATGTGTGCTGTGAATGAAATCAGCCTTAATTATTAATTTTTTCTCAAACTTACAGACATGTTGCATAATTTTACCACTGTGTATTTGCTTATTGTGCCTTGCTTAAAAGGACCCTGAATTTATGTTCAGTACAGTGCATGAACATATTAAAGAAAGGTTAATGAGAACACAAAGGGAAGATTTTCAACACTTTCCACAAACCCTTTAATTTATAAGTACATAATAAAAATTAAAGCAATGCACTGCCAATCAAAAACCCAAGAAAAATGCACACTTGAACAAGACAAGTGCAAACAGATGTTGTCAAAGCAGCATGTTTCTAAATTTTATTTTTTTGTTCATCCATCTTTGCTTGGATGAACATCACTTGTCAAATTTTACATCTTTGGAAACACCTCAACTATGCTGCCCCACTAACTTCTTTTAAGGTTGCATATATACACATAACCATTCATTTACTCTAAGAACAAATATGATCAATTTTTGTGAACTTAAGTTGCCTATCCAACCGGTGATGCACTTACACCTGACCAGCCTTCTGCTAAATGTTCACATTCCCACATCCATGGCGAGAAATGCAACGAAGATTCTCTTTGAAAATGGTGGCATGCATGGTAGATGAGCGTAGTCTAATTATAAAATGGAACAGTGAAAAAAGTTTTATATGTACTAGCAGTCGAGAATGTTATATCTAATGAATTTATGATTGCGTTTTGAGAAATGGAATAGCCGTAGCATTGTCTTTTTTTTTTTGACAGTAAAGAGATGCTTGTTGCAAGCACTAGGCTCGGATAGCACCCTAAATGCTGCTGGTGACACTTGGACATGTTTCCACTATGTATAACGCAGAAGCACGGTATATATATAAAAAAAAATTTAGGCCACCACCCTGACAGCAATGAGAGAAACTGCATGAGAAATAGACTAGAAGACAGTCAGTCCAAATATACCAGAATTGGAAGATATATGATTGCATCGTCATACCCCAAGGGGGTTATCTTGGGATGTAAAATCTGAAAATTTATTATTTCTCGAAATGCATAAAACTTGTATGTTATAATGATTATAGAAAATTCACACATCCTGCTTTCATATCCACCTTATATTTTGAAGCTTGAAATGCATAAAACTTGTATGTTATAATGATTATAGAAAATTCACACATCCTGCTTTCATATCCACCTTATATTTTGAAGCTGTGTATAATTAATCAGTGTTATATACATTACATGTATTATTAAGTACAATTTACAATATCATGAAATCATTTCTTGATTTATTGAATTTTACATTACAGTTATAAATTGTAATTTATATATTTTTTTATTATTTCTCAAAGGTTCAGAGAATTGGGACATTACACAATCAGCAGTGACCCTCTTGAAACTTATGTGCATAGGCACTCTTTTCCATAATTAAGAGTGCTGTAGTAATCAGACTATATTTAATGCACATACTGGATGTCTAATGAAGCAGTAAATTTGTTAACAAGTATTTAGCATAAAAGTCATTGTTTTCAGTGACCACCACTGCTTCTGTCTTTCGTGAACACATAATTTTGTTTTTCAGGTCACCAAAGACCGAGAAGCGATGCGTCGCAAGTCTGAGCAGTTGGCACAGCAGCTGAGCAAAGCAAAAGGCGAGCTTCAGGAAGAGAAAGAAATGAACAAGTGCCTACGGGAGAACCAGGTCGTGTGGCAGTCAAGACTCAAAGATGTTGAAACTAAATTGCAGGAGCTTCAAGATAACAAGGACAAAGAAATCCAGGATTTACAGGAGCAGATGCGGGATTTGATGTTCTACCTTGATGCAAAGGAAAAGATCAGTTCAAGCTCAACTGAGGTGCAACAAGAAATGCAAGAGGGTACAATTATTGTTGGAGCACCAGGGCCTTCTGGTACACCAACACAAAAGCATCGCAGACGAAGAAATCGCTGATTCGTTGCAATGAATGAGGGTGCCTATTTATTAATCTCAACTTAACATGCAAGCTGTGCTATTTCTAAATGCATGCCTTGCCTGTTCTGTGCCTGTTAGATAGATTTAGAGACAAGGCTTTCATAAGTGTCAGGCTTATGGCTATTGCAGGGTGACTTCAAGAATCCTTGCTCTTCAGCTGCTGCTGTATCATGTGGGTATATATATTAAAAGCTTTAGACATTTTGATATGCATTCTGGAAAGTTGCCATGTTGAGGTAGATGTACACTTGCAAGTTAAGGTATAAGGCTAAGTTGAAAACGCAGATTTTTTCTCAAAATGACGTTTTACAGTTCTTGGTTATATTAAATGCCCAATTTATTGCTCGCCATTTTGATGCATAAACCTTCCGTCTACGCTGCTTCTTTCCAAAAATACAAGCAAAATTTTCGGCCACCCATCTCCAATGAAACCGAAAGTGCCAAATTTGTGTCATTCATAGTATAAGCTTGATATGTAGTATTTTGTTGGTTATTCAGCACTCATAAAAAACAAACATGCGAAAATGCTCTAAAAGCACTGTCAACACATCATTTTTAATCATAAAAGTCATGTCATGCAGTCATAAAAGTGACTGTGTGACAACAATACCAGTCAAGCTACACACTTGTAGCTGGTGCACATGTATTTTTTTCACACATTTGATATGGCAAGGAGCCACTGAACAGTAAATTTGAGAGCTCAAACTCGGTTGTATTGCTAGCTGTCAATTTCAAAATGGTATCATTTATGGTACGAGTGCTCGCTCTGGGTTAAGTGTGTATGCATGCCATGCTGGCACCAATAAAGGCTGCAGAAAGGTTTTCATACACGTCATACATAAATTCAAGAGCCCATGACAGCAGCTTGTTCATTTAACCAGACATGTCCAGAACCTTTTAACAGCGGAGCTGTTTATGGTTACGGTTGTTCTCCCTAGGGTGTTCGCATTTCCTAGGGAGCGTATACACCACAGATATAAGAGAAGCCCCACTGCATGTTAACACCTCCAGCTGTTCCACTAAAATGGAGTGCGTGTGCTAATTCCCTGGAGAGAGAGAGAGAGAAAAGAACAGAGAAAGGGCAACAAGAAGGAAATAGCCCAAAGGAAAGTATACAGAGCACAACGCAAAATATCGCTTCAGAATTTATTGCAACAACAAACATATAAGTGGTTAGATGAACACGTGATGATATAGATGGTGCGCTTCCCGGAAAGCTAACTCAGTGGCAAGTAATGTGACATAGTTTCACAACACATGCAGCATCTGCTCTGTTGATAACATAGGTTTCTTCGAATTCACGCGCCACCCTATCTTTGAATTTAGATTTTGTTGTCATATCACTGAGAGGTAGTGCGCAGCTGTATTCACAATAATGCAGATAAAGATTATAACACGATTGTATCTTTAGCGAAGCTTTGCAATTTATTAGCCTATTATTGACACAACACTCGGTTTGGAAAAGTCTGTATGTTCAGTGCACTGGCTGTTCTGTCACTCTCTCCTCGTTGGTGCCGTGGGGATCATATGAAAAAAGCATCTAATAAAAAATGTTGCCGCTTTTGACTGCAATGATTGCCTAAATACAACACATGTCTGAACGCACTTCCATGTATCTCTACAATTGAAATGAGAAAGGAACCTGCGTATATTAGTGCATATTATTGAGTCAGTGTATATATATTACTGAGGGGACGTTTATGACATGCGAGTTATCGCGGGCCGATGCATGCAGTCAAAACGTACTATCGGGAGCAATGCGAGCATGAACACTGAATTTTCTATTTGTAGTTCTTGCTCTGCAAAAAAAACGCAACTCGGAGTGAATTGTTGCAGTTAATTTTAGATGTGACCATAAAACAAAACAAAAGATGTTCAGGAAAGCAAAAGTACTACTTCCGGAAAGAACACCAAGTTTATGAGAATGGTTCAAACGCCATGAAACCACTTGGCACTACCAGTTCGCTCAACCTTTCGATTGTGTTAAGGTGCAACAAGTATGTGCACAAACACAAAGTGAAAAACAAAGTCAAAACTATGCACATAACTTATAATACTCTTATCTGTGACTGCGTTACTAGTAATATACACGCAGTTTCGAAAATTGTTCCCAAAGTACCTGACCTAGGAGAGGAAAGGTGATTGGAAACAGCAACAAAGCTTGCAATATTCACGCTCCACACACGAGAGGCATTTGTTGGCTGCCATTTGTCATTCTTTATTCTCACTGTCAAAGTTTTCTTTTAGGATCCCCTGGGAAAGAAAACACCTTCCATCCATTTCTAGAATGTTTCGTGCCCTGTGTAGCACGCAGCATGCAGTAATTTTGCGAGACTTGCGACGAATCAGAAGGCCGACAAGGCAGCAAGCGCCGCGTAGACGTTTAAACAAGCGCGGCATGGCCAAAACATAACGGGTGTGCGTGGCGAGGCGGCGTCGACCCTTTCAAAGAATGACCACACTTTGAAAGGCGCCGGCAGGAGTCTACCACATCGCTTGAAAGCACAAGTGTAACTTCGCTCACATTTAATCTGGCTTTAGCGAAAAAGTGCTTTTTCGTTGTATCTCAGCATTATAACCCAAAGCAAACAGCATACACGCACAAAAAGAGAGAGAGGCAGAAGCAAGAACTGCACATCGTGCTTGCCTTCCTTCATTCCGCGTCCCGTTGTAACTGGCACTTGTTTTTGACCAATGCACATAGAAATCGCCCCAGTATTCCATAATGCCCAATCATATTCTAACTTTACCAGAACACACATTTCACGACCAAAATATGCTGCAAAGTTTTGAAAATCGAGAACAAGAAGGAATCAAGAAAATGATTTGTAATTTCTGTTGGATCTCATGAAAGTGAATGCAGCAACTACATTTGCGGGGACATATTTACGTCGGCTAAGGTGATGAAACTATACTGCATGCCTTTTTAACATCAGCTTCACTTTTTTTTACTAGCAGGTGAGACTTTTTTTGAAGAGCCGAGGTTTTTGCAATTATCTCTGGAGGCAAAATGTATTCTTAGCACTATGTAGGAGTGCAGAAGCTCTGCAGTAGTGGTGTTCTTGTGAGTAGAACAGCCGATGATAGCAATGTTACACTCATCAAGGGCGTCGAGGAGGCTCCGGAAGGTGTTTGCACAGAGCCGGTTATTTTGCAGCTCATGTGAAATTTTGGCTTCAAGTTCTTGAAACTTACAGAAAAGCTCCCATGATGGCAATTTGAGGCTGCCAAGCTCAAATTCCCTCTCCAAAGTGAGAAATGCCTCTAGGCACTCAGCATTTTCAGACTGGATACTATATGTATACAGTCGGAACACCTCTCACGCTTGAGGTAAGAATACATAAGGTAGCCGCACAAGTAGTAAATAACAGTCTTGTGCTGCTGGTGTGAAATAACCATGATCAGATGCTGTCAGTGTTTCATTCTGTGCAGTAGCACATATCACTGCTAACTTCGCTCTAACAGCCTTCTGGAGTCTTTTATGGGATGACAGTGTGTCCTTTCTTCCCCTTTTCATGCCGTCTGTGACAGTCACAAGCACGAAAGTCTCCTCATCACTCACGTTCCCAGTGACAAGTTCTAATTGGTGTATACAGGCTGAGAAGCCTATATATGTGTGAAAAGCCGATTAAGGTAGGGCGGCCTTCATCACCTCCACAACCTCTTGTTACACCAAAAAGCATCCGAGAAAAAAGTTCACAAATATTAATAATCTTACAAGAAAACGTATATTTACAGATATTTACAACGATTACACGCGATCACAATGCCTGGCGCACTGGCGGGCTGGAACCAGTCTCTATCCACTTCGTAGTCTTCCCTTTTAGCCAGGGACCCTCTACCGCTTTATGCCCCAATCCCACTACTGCCTTGTGGCAATATGATAAATAAGAACAATCAACTGCTTACTTCTAAATAGCGTGCACCTTTAGAAAGAAGATCCGTCGCGAGGTCCCGTACCGATGCAAGCGTAGCTTGAAGAAACTCCATTGTAACTTGCGATGCAAGCATCACTATTCCGTTGGCAATATGGTTTTCCTCAGTCACATTTCGGCCTACTTGTGGCTTATTTTCTAGGATGACCTACAAAATAAGCCACAGGGAAAATCAATTTCATAACAATGAAACAGATATGAAGTATTATTTATACCGTCTGTAACATGCTGTAATGTATCTTTTTTACCACAATTTCCTTAAATGAACTTGTTATTCCAAGCTGGGAAAACTTCTTATTCAAGGCATCAAACAGGTCATTTGATGATGTGAGGTACATTGCACAGGAAGCAAAGCTGCTGATCAGGTACACAAGGATGGTCGACTTTGTGCTTTGATGCATGAAGCTTGCCTTTGATGCCAAAACTAGACCACATGATGGCATTGTTAGGATTGACACCATCACTGATAACTGCAACAATTGGATTGTGCTTGTATAATTGCAAAATAGCTTCTAAAACAAGCCTTGCTAGTACAGTCGAACCCCTTTATACTGATATAAGAGACAAATGGGTATAAGAGACACCAGTATGCATACAGTAAAATACAGGGGATAGGAAAATGCATGCGAGGTACCCTGCTTATAAGCGACATCTTGAATAAAAGACAAGAATCGCTGCCTGGAGCATGCCTCTTATAAAGGGGTTTAACTGTACTCTTCCAGCAGCTGCATGCCTCGTAGCAAAACTAGCAATTGGTTGCACCCAGGAGCGAAATAAAGGCACGAACATGAGTACCAAAACGCAGTCAACTGTTGTTTCTGAGTCTTGGCCATCTCCATAATCAATGAAGCTATCAACCTTGTAGCTACTCTTGTTGAACACGACAACCTCTCACACCTTCATTTCGTCCAGTATCAGTTGGCCGTAGCAATGTACTCCTGTTCGGTTCTTCATAAAGGCCCCAATACTTTCAAGAAACATATTGTTGAAACCCAATTCACAGGACATTCCTTTGACTATTCGTTTCAGCCTTGTAGTGGTTGGAAGTGGCGTGAGCTTCGTCTTTGACATCAGTCTGTAAGCTCGTGGGCTTGAAATTCTTAACTGAAGGCAAGTCATAAGCCATTCCTGTTCATAACACCTTTCTCATGGTGATTTCGCCTTTGCTGCTTTCACTGTTGCCCAAAGGCTAGTTGCTGTGCTAGCGGAATACTTTCTACTGCTTTTTCAAATTTACTCAGTGAAACTTTTGACAGACAATATCTCAATGCAGACACTTCCCTTTTGGCTCTTTCGCGAAACACCGTGACCCTGGTGGCTTTTTTCTTCAGGTATTGAAGTTCATACTCTGGCTTCCGTTTCGCACTTTTTTGGGGGGCAATGCTTCACTCTATCACCAGAATTTTTTTTCGTTCTTTCGTGTTCACCTTATAGCACCATGCATTTCTTGTTTCGCCATACACCCTGGCTTTTGACGGCTGCCGTTGACGAGGAAATACCTGCAAACAGCTCAGATTTACACTCAGAACAAATCTTGAGCTTGTCCATGTAGCAAAGGAACATTGTTATATTCTTCAAGCTTGTTAGCCTCGTCCGAGCGTTTTCGTCTTTCGTGACGTAGCTGCAAGGCGGGACAAGCACTTCTGTTGAACCAACTTCAACTGTCAAGTCTTGCCGGATCACAACAGCCTTTTCTATGTTCACAGTGCCCCCAGATTCTTCGAGCTTGTAAAAAATGACCTGGAAGGTAGAAGCATTTACATTACAGGAATCAAATATGGGGCTACCCTGCACAACAGCGAACCCGGGCACTGTTTCTAACGAGCTATCATCGGTACAATGATCGACATCTATGTCATCACATGCGTGAGTTTCATCACATAAATCTTCGTCACTTTGGCAGGAAGCAACTTGGGCAAGGACTACTGTCCTCACTTTTGGTTGTTTTCTTGCCGACTTTGACACAGTTGGTTTCGAGAGGTGCTCGGGTATGTTTGGAAAAATTCGAGGCACAGTGTGCTCCCTCAGTGTGCATCAGCCTTCTCGTATCGTTACAGCCCGATGTTCACGGAGTGCTCCTGGCAACTTACGATGCCTGCAGGCTCAAAAAGAATGTCTCAGGCTTGCGTTTCTGACGTAACCTTAAAGTTCTTCTGTGAATCGCGTTTTGCCATGCCTTCAGTTAGTCAAGGTCCTTTGGGGGCCTGAAGATATGTCGCAGTGCAAGGCTTGCCGCCGCTGCTGATGCATACCTCGAACGACAGCCTGGCGCGCTGCACATCGGCATGACGAGAATCCTTGCTGACACTTTACAGTATCCACTTAAAATGTTCATACCCTAGTAGAACATGTTCGAACTCATTGATATGTGGGGTTTAACGTCCCAAAACCACCATATGATTATGAGAGTTGCCGTAGTGGAGGGCTCCGGAAATTTGGACCACCTGGGGTGCTTTCACGTGCACCCAAATCTGAGCACACGGGCCTACAACATTTCCGCCTCTATCGGAAATGCAGCCGCTGCAGCCGGAATTCGATCCCGTGACCTGCGGGTCAGCAGCCGAGTACCTTAGCCACTAGACCACTGCGGCGGGGCATCGGGTCCAAACTCGAAGGTGACTAACGCCCTAGCACCATAAGCACACCAAAAGCACGTGGCTGAAGCCAATGTTGGCGCAAGCTTAGACTGCAGCGCCCTCACACTCCCTTGGATGAAATCCCACCTGCCTTGAAAGGAGGAGTACAGAAACTGAAAAAGTATCTACAAACGTTGGGTAAAATGCTGAGAACCGCGTACACAAAGCTTGCTGGTAGCGTAGCCAATCTCGGTAACTCAGCAACATACACTTTCGAGGCCGTCACAAAATCTTTAAAAAGACACGCCGTCGAGCGTTTCATGTGTCCTTGCCCTTTAAATTGACTAGGGAATTTCAGGGTACACTAAGCAATAATTTTGCTTGGCAGCACAGGGTAGCCAACATGAAGCATGTCTACTTTGCTAACATTGCACGATGTTTAGGTGGTTTTGTAGTCTCGTGCACTATCATTTTCATTTCCCGTCCTGCCCTCTGCTGTTTTGTAGAACCCGAGACTTCTGGGAGAAGCAGCACTGCCATAACGAAGAGGCGTCTTGCTAATTTATTACTAGAGAAAGGGTTCTCTTGACACCGCACTTTGCATCCAAGCGGCTATGACATGTGCTCATGTGCGGGAAGGCTTGTTCAGTCGTTGGCTGTGCGCAGATGACGTGTCGTGTCACGTTGCCCAAATGGGCGGAGTCACGGTGACGAGCTACACCTCCCCCTCCCTGTGGCGGTGAAGGATGGCAAGGCCACGCGATAATTTGAAACCAGCTGAGGCTGATGTTCTAAACCCTGTAATTTCCTTAATATAGCAAGTATTCGCAAAGTTCTTGCGGCAGCATGTTCACATAGCAAAAGTACGTATATTTCTCATTAAAATTTTTTGACCTTGGGGTTGTTTACTGGCCACTTGAGAAAAAAAAACTATCTTTATCAAGCATGCATGCTATCCACGAAGGGGAAAGAAGCTGCTGCAGAGAACTTTTTTTGTTGTTTCACTGTATATATTTTGTCTTTCCTGCATGGTGAAGAATCTAACTACTTTTGTGAGCGGGCATATGAGTCACAAAATGTCACACTGTCAAGGTCCACCATTTGAGCAGGATGTAAGCAAGGCCCAAGTGAGCTTGAGTGCCTACAGCCTTAAGCTTGCTCATGTTACTTGAACAGCGGAATTTCGCCTTTAGTGGACAGGTAAGTTGAGCTTGTGCTATGTTGCTGATGAATTGGATTCTTCACATTCAAGTAATTTAAGTACAAAGTACAAAATACTCTGAAATACAGTTACCGCAAAAATACTTTCTTGGGAAAATTTCCTATTGGGACACTCCTAGAAGAACTTAAAATGCAGTTACATGAGTATTGTGCAACAGGCATGCACAGATCTGATTGAAAGGTCGTGTGGTTCATCTTGTTTATTTAAGGAACACGTTCAAAAAAAAAAATAAGCATGAAGTGCTCATAAGAATCTGTGGCTAGCAAGAAATAGTGTTCAATGGTACAGAGTCACACTGCTTTTTTTTTTCTTTATCACATAAAAAATGTCTCAATTCCACCCTGGTAGCATGGAAATTTATATAGAATTGAATCAAATTTAAGTATGAAAATGAGTGGGTGTGAGATAGAAGCACCTCAATGTCTTTTAGAGACAACAAAGGAAGCTTAAACCAAAAATAACAGTGGTTAGAGACACAAGCCTCAGTTTTTGAGACAAGAAGAAAAAGCGAACATGTTTCAACTGCAGAAAAAAATGACAGGTGCCAATTAATGCACCAATGGCATATGTTAAAAAATAAACAGGCCCCTTTTCTTCAACTTTAGAACAGGATCTGCATGTAACTCAAAGCTACTTTGGGTATCTTCTAGGTTAAAAAAGAAAACTGAGTAGAGCCCAAAACACTTCTATGAGAAAAAAGGAACAGCAACATTACAACTTCGTCTTCTGAAGGTAACAAAATTATGTTTTAACAAAAACTATTCCTTACTAAAACGTGAGCGAGCACTTTGCAGCTAACCAATAGGAGAAGAAACAAAGCCAGGTGCATGACACCATGAATGCAATCATAAACACAGCATGGCAGAAACAAAGATACATAAGACATTACACTTAATCTTTTTTCCCTACAGCTGTGGCTCTGCTGTTCTTAAACAAAAACACCTGCTTCAACATCTGCCTTGGTAGACACAGTAATACAACAATGCCATCAAGATAAGTGAGTGATCTGCCCACTGGAAGAAAACAAATTGAAAGACAGTGAACACCAAAAAATGTAGGAACATTGGATGTAGGGTAAGAGGCCATACTTTGTAACATGAACACAAAATGAGCAATACAAATGTCACAACAACGCTTGTAATAATTAAAACACTTTTGACTACAAGAATAGCAGCAGAAAAAAATAGCCTTTAGTATGATGCTGCATTTCAAAGGACACCATGAGTACTGCACTTGCAGCACAAGCGACTAGAGTAAGGCTACAACAATGTCCTAAAATGAGCAATGCTAGAATGCAACCATATTGCAGCGTGCTAAGGTTGCATAGGTCTGACTAGGTTTCATTAATAGGCCATGCCAAAGTGTGATGAATGTGCAACTTATCACAGTATTATTGCAAGTAATGACTCTACTAATAATAATGTTCACTACATTGAGTTTCCCGGACAAGGCAGCAAACAACAGATGAGAAATATTGCAAACATTTTAAAAGTAGATACCATGCCATTATTCTCAGTTAACACTAGTTGGCACTGTTTCCATCAGGCAGAAGACAATTCACTCAACGTAAACTGCCTTCGTGTGTTCAGAGAAAGGTAATCAGCACATCAAGAAAAATACCACAGCTGGAGAAACTGCAGACATGTATAATCATACTGAACGAAGGCAAAGTATTGGTGATGCAATCAATACTGAAGGCATTGTGCACACAAATGGCTGCAATCACCTAAGAGTGGCAGTGCTCCTTATCACAGGTACAGAAAAATCACATGAGTTATGTTGCTGAAAAAGATAATTTTGCAGACGACTAAGATGAGAGTAACCGAGAACTTGTGCACGTACAACACTCCTGTGCAACACTCCTACAACACTCCTGACCTATCAAATATTGTCACAGTGCCGTCAATTCTGAGGCTGCATGACGACTGGTGATGCCATTTCATAGTTGTGGGATGGTGGTGAATTTTCAACAGTACCAACAGTACCAAAGCCAGGTGAAGAGGCCGAGGGGGAGTTGTCATCTGCAAAAACACATTCAAATCACAACGCCTTAGCACTCTTTTTATGCCAATTCTGTGAAGCCTTAGACACTAGCCATTAGTGTCAGAACATACACTTGATATATCTCCAAGAGTTCATTTATCAATAAGTGAATAAACATAGGGTCAATAAATTATACAGTTCACAAAACAACAGTAACAGCTCTATTACAGTTGTCACAGAATATACAAAGCGTTGCTTACAAATACAGTCGACTCTCTTTAAGACGAACTTGAAGGAATCACGATCATTTTTTTCATCTTATAAGGAGTTCATCTTATCAGAAGTGACCCCAAAAACCGAGTGCCAACATGCTAAGTACGCCTAAATATGTTGCTTGAAAACACTGAATGAAGCATACTTATAATGGGGAGGAAAGGAACAAGAAAAAACATCTATTTGGTTCGGTCTGATAAAAACTGCACTCTCAAGTAGAATATTCAGACTAATGTAACTAGTAGTCGATTTCATAAGTTCATAATAAATATGCTCATGAATAAATTGCTTCCACATTTTAACAATAAAACTGTAGCATGACCCTATTTTGACGATTGGAAAGATAAAAAGGGAAATAGGAGCACAATTTTTCTTCAAAAAATGAAAAATTTATTCTTCTAGCTGTTCACCTTCTAGATTTGCTGCCACTTTCGGATGCGCCTCCGTTGCATGGTGCTACTTTGACAAAGCCATATATGCCAAGTTGCTTATGAAAGCCTGAAAGTTTTTCTTTGAGGTTCGGATATTTTCTTATTTTCAGCCTGCAGTAACTTTTCCTGAACGATATGCAGCTGAACATCTTCCTTTATACTACTCGCTATCACAAGCCTGGGGCAAGCAAAAAAATACCAACACAGCTATATTTAGAATGCGAATTACCTTCCTTCCTCGCGCATTTTCATAATAAAAATGGTGCATCACAAGCTGCTGCAATTAAATGCGAACAGATACAATGCGCACAGCCCCTGTGCAAAACAATGCAAACTGACCACAACATGTGCTCAGGTGCCAATGTAAGACAGCGATAACAATGCGCCTGACTCCTGTTATGGGAGCGCTAACGCCACAAATAAGGTTTACGTTTCATGTGATTATAATGTACAGACTATCTCTGTTCCAGTTTCAACTTTCGTTCTTTTTTTTTTTTTTTTTGCCCCCTTCCCTTGTATTTTTCTCCTCTAACCAAGTCCTTGTGTTGTTCTGTTCTCTACTGTACACCTGTTGGGAAATTTTCGTTGCTTTCTTTGCTGATAAAGCTGACTTTTTCTCCATTTGCAGGGGGAGATACCAGCTTAATGTGCTGACCTTTTTTTTCCCACTTATCTCCCTTCCATGTTGCAATTTCTTTCGATTTGCTTTGAGTAATTCTGCCATGAAGTTTTTTCCCCCTTCTCTTATTTACCTTAATGCCCCCACCAAGACTACAATGTTTGTTGCACAAAAAGATCTGTCGTAGTCGGTCGCTGTTGGAGTTCGTATTAACAGAAGAGGCCTGTTATGCAGTTCACCTCAAGTAAATTTCTTTTTTGCACTGAGTCTATGGGAAACCAAACAAAAACTTCTGTGTTGTTTGTCTTACGCAAGAATACATCTTAACAGTGCTCGTCTTAAAGGGAGTTCACGGTACAACACCATTTGTATACGACATAATAAGGCTTCTACCAGAAAGATAACTACAGTGGAACGTAGCCTAAGAAATTTTAGGTTTTCTACCTTTGGCAATGATGTCTAAAGAAAGCAAGAGAAAGGTGGGAGAGGCTTTACAGTATCCCAAAAACACATGAATGTACTTCAGATACAAAAAGCTTTAGTACAGAGCAAAACACTCACATTAGCACATGTCTAATGCTAAGGGAGGGCGTCGTTCATTATGGACAGAGCACCACCTAGATGTAAAAACACAATGAACTGAGCCAAGCAAAATCTATGAATCTGCTATTAATAGTGCTTATTAAAAAGCAAGAAATTCTAATATTCCTTTAAAAAAAGTTACATTATACAGTAAACTGCATATGGTCACAAGCCACTACTGGCATTTTGTACACATACTACAATAGCTGTGCGAGATATTTTTTAAAGGGGCCCTGCAACGCTTTTCACCATGGTCAGAAAATGCTGCCGTTGGATAGTAGAGCCTCCTGAGAACGTGCTGGCCAAACACTATAGCACTGCATGTGACCTGAAATTTACAACTGGTTCTCTAAGTCAGCTCTTATTTCTTCCTTCTTCTTTTAACAACTGATGCCATAGTACGCCCATATGACAGCACCATATACCTAAAGGTTCACGGCCATAGGCTGACTTGAGCGTCGTGAGCTGCGTAGTTACCAAGGCCACCACATAAGGCCACTACGCGTCTATGCTCGCAATCACTGAAAATAAGCTGGGTGTTAAACAGACTAACGTGAGTGTTAGGGTGAGTTAGTAGTTCAATGCTTGTCTATGTCAGCTCTCTTTTTGTGCATCTGTGCTTATTCCTGTGCTATTGAAAATTTTCTTGAGAGGTGTTAAAAAAAGAAAGTGTTCAAGGTCATGACGCACACGTAGCATAGCCTCGTGCCATTTGCTCCTGCATAGTTTTCAGCATGCTTGTCGAGACAAGAGAAAACAATTACAGAGCACGACAACATGTCTAAGTCCACTCGTACATGACCGATTCTAAAAACTTTTGCCGCAGTCAATGTGTTCTGCAACGAACTCATTCAATGAAACCATTCAAGAATTACTTAGAAAGGCGCTGCAGGAGTTTATAAACACTCTCCAACCAGAGTGGTTTAGTGGTAATGGTGATCTAATGCTGACCTGAATGTCCCAGAATTTCAGTTATGGCGGCCACATTTCAATGGGATGCAAAATGTTTGAAGCCCGTGCACTTGGATTTTAGTGCACGTTAAATAAAACCAGATGGTCAATTTCCAGAGCCTGCCATTATGGGACCTTTCATTACATCACATCATAATTCTGGGACACACTTAAACGCACCAATTATTATGCTATTTAAAAGCACTACACAAAGCATAGTATGTGAGGTACTATCGAGGAGGAATACCATTCACACCTTCACTGAAATTGTTTGTGGTAGCTGCCGTCTCTGACACACTGCACCTGACATCGGGCATGACTATGCTGGTGTCAGTCACATATGGCAGAATTGTGAGGCTGAAGTTCCCATTGTAGCCTTGTACTGACGGGAACACACATGGTTGCAGAGCAGTGCCATATGTCCGAAAATACTGCAAATAGAAAGAGGAAAAAATAGGTGGGAAGAAAACATAGGCAACTTCCATAAACATTTCCACAAGCTTTCATAGGTTGCACATGCTTCCAGTTTTCCAAGACTTTCGGACAAGGCGGCACTTGTGAGGATATCAATTACATTCACATAAGTATATTGGGAGTGTGCAAACATGTCTTTTGACACCTACCCAACCAGTGGGCAAACATGTAGTTCTATCCATGCATGCAAGCAAATTTAAAACTTCCTACAACCCTATGAACATCTTTTTAAAGCTTACTCTCAGCACAAGTGCAGATTTTCGGCAAAAGCAGCAAACAAACGGCTAGAAAGTTGTTAAAAGCATTCGTTATAAAAAGAAAGGACCTGAATGTGTCAGTGACACATCTATAACTTTGTATTTAACAGAAATACACTTCCTCGATAATATATTGCCTTGACAATGTCAGTGCACGCCATGTGTTGGCTGTTCACGCATGCGCGGAAATGCTTTATTTCTTCTTGTGCGTTTCTCACTGTCATTAAACAGTTGGCAGTTCGGCGCTTCACTTTCTCTTCTTCTGCCCCCCCCCCCTTTCCCAAATGTATTTTGTGCCACAGTCAGGTGTACCTAAGCAATATGGCACTTAGTTTCAAGTCGGGCCACAGCCACAGCAATGAATATGTACAAGTACAGCAAAATAAAGTTCTCGCATCTAAAAGAAAAACATAAGAATAACATACGTCGTAGCCGATGTTGTAGAAGAACCGCAGGGTTGGAATATCTGTGAGACCAGAAAGGTAATAATGCAATCATCAGGAGCCAAGCAAGCTGTCTATTAACAGGCAAAAACAAAATGAAGCTCAGATGGAGCAGAAAAATAAAAGGGCACTACAAAGGCACTGACTTACAAAAGCAAAGTTACTGATGCAATCATGCAAGAGCAACTGTTATACTATTATGCAAGAGCGACAGAAATATACTGAAGTGGGGCAAAATGCAGCCGAACACATGCTCTCGAAAATAAAGCTTTTATTAACGAAGCCCATGATGATCAGCACTCTGAAACATGTCACTACTGCAAAATTATTTGCCGTTTTCATTAATATTTGTTGAGACAGAGAAGAGACTGACACCCCGCATTGCCCTGGTTGAGCACTTTTTTTTTTTCATTCTCACAAGCAGCCCCACTTTCCCCTGCTTCTACGTGTCTAGTGCGCAGCATTGCATTTCTCACCAACATTTTCCCGCGGTAGACTAAACATGCTCCTAAGACTGTGGCGTCTGCACTTGCCTCTAGCAGGTACAGCCGATGCCAACAGGTGACCGGTAAAATGGGCAATCGCAGGGAAGTGTGGGATACGGCGGCTTCCGGTACGACGCACCACACGGGTCAGCAGCGGCACGTGCGCATTTTTGTACTGCTCCGTTAAAAAAGCACCTCGCCGTGCAATGTCAGTGGTTTAGAAGTTTTTGTTTTTTTGCCAACCGTGACTGTGACGATGACAAGCTACAGAAGCCATGAACGGTCCGGGAACTTTTTTTGTCGCACTAAAATGATGTGCAATGCTTTTATGCTGCTAGGGGCTGCTGTCAGTTTGGCTGGCAGATCAGTCGATACGCAAAACAGTTTTCTTTGTATGATACGGTACTGCAGATAAAAAGTCACCATTTTATAGATCTCAGGGGATGGGGATGACTGTAGCAGTGTGCTAAAAGTTAATTTCGGGATCGCTGCGACGGCCGAATTCGTCAGTTGATCGGCATGAAGCGCAACACTTATTGAGCGCATTAAGATATTTTCTTCTAGCCTTCAGCGCGCTATAAGATGCACTTCTTAGTCGAAGCCAGATGCTTATTTGAACACTGATCTTGGTCAAGCTGCATGGCACGGCGGCACATAAACAATACAGTCAGACATAGACGGCGCCGATTAACTGAAACCCTGCGCTTGTTTAACGCACTTCTTCCATTTGGGTGCCGTCCTGGCGCACAGTTTGACCAAGATAAACGCAAATGAACTTGTCCAGCGCTTCGTGTAAACTTACTCTTGAGTGAAGCTTTCGCGTTTTCTGTCATGTATATGGGTGCAATGGCCGGCGCTCATCTCGTATGGCAGGTAGATTTCGCCCACGCGTTCCCATAATAACTTTGCTAGGTGTGCCTGAGCGACAATTTATTTCTCAACATGATATTCGCAGCAAATTCATGCGTAAACTTTTTTAGTGTGGAATACACACGTATCTGTGATAAAATGGTTTTCGCACACTTTGGCTTCAACGAACCGTACTTGAAGGCTACCTGTCGCTGTGGCTCTCTTCACAGCCGCGGCCCACCTCATTTTTTTTTCATTCGTGCCATGGGAAATATACCTGCGTTTGCCTTTCATGCTCGAGTAGGAGCAGCCAACGGCTGAACAACCGACCATGGTTTATCAGGACGAGGATAAACGGGTGGCCGCGCGCGCGAATCCTGAATAATCTGAGGCTTGCGGCGAAGTGGTTCGCCGTTGTCTACTCTTCTCGAACCAGAAGGCGATAGCAGACGGTGCATCCCACAATCCCTCGCTTTTTACTGGTCACCTATTTACCCCGCGCCAGACATGATGGCCATTTAGGTAAGAGAGTTTGAAACACGTGTAGCTGCTGTTCCTGCCTGTAAACACCACGACTACATTGCCGAGCTTCCATTGCGACGCTGGCCCGTTGTCTTTAACAATTACCAAGATAGAAACATGCAGACAGGACGAAGACGATGGCTGACAGTGATGAGCACTGCAGAACGCAGGATAAGCAAATATTCTTCCTTCCTGCTTTTCCACAATCGCAGAAGGAGTTCTTTGCATTTCACATGCTTTTGCAGGTTATGTGTGGCAGGCAAGCATTTAGTGGTTTTCGGTGGTAGCTGCATGCTGTGCTTGCTGCCGGGTAAACAAGGTGTGATGGTGTCAGCGCCCGTGCATCCTTGGAGTTCTTACAATGTTTATTTGGAAGGCAGTCATGCACTGTCGCACCTACATGACCCCGAGACCTCAATGAGAGGCAACAGGGAGTGTGAATGAAAAAGTAGAAAGTTTCAATGTCATCTTCTTCCACAAGTCCTTGGTGTCAAGTGGAAAGAGCCCGTCCCAATAGATGTGCTGCCACACTGGCTTTCTGCACCTTTTCTTCTCTGATGGTGTGACTCGACAATCACACTTCACAACTTTGGAGATGCCACAAAAAGACACGTAGTCTCTCCACGCCTTGGAGTGCTGGGTGGCGATGATCATGCTGTCAGTACTAGAGTGGACAGTACATGAGGCGGTGCCATAGTGTCTGCAGCGTGGCGTCATGGTTCATTGACGGCGTCTCTGAAGTTTGTTTGAGCGTTAAGCTAGACTGGCTTTCCTCGTTAGTTTTAACTTCACCACGATGTAACTTCAAAACTGCCTTCACTTGCTCGCCTCTTGATCGGACTGCACAGTCCGCGGCATCTGTGTCGATCTTCATCCACTTTCGATACTAGAGCACCAGGTCTTCTGGCAATGAACGCACCAGCATCCGGTGCAAAACAACTATGTACTTCAAATACAGCACACCAAGGCTTTTCAAACAGACAGTCCTGAAGTGTATTTGCTCGTATATATATGTACGGCAGCCTTGATACTCACAAAGATGTCTCGATTGGTTCAATAGAAAGGAGGTCGCCAATGTGGTCGTCGATGAGGACGTCTTTTCAGCCAAACCTTTTAGTGAGGACCTTGACAGCCATGTTGTAGTTCACTTTGGCGAAATGTATTTTTTCAATGGCCCGCTTCGAAGCGCCGGCCAAGCATGTTTTCAAGTACTTGAACTTCTCAATACCGATGAGAATGAGGTGCGTGTGGCTGGTGGTCTTGTAGTGCTCCCAGGACTCCTGCCACTTACGGTTCTCACTGCTGAAGACAGGCGCTTCAATTTTCGGCAAGGCGACTGGCAAGCCTGGTGCTCGTCGTAGCCTACAGTGATCAGTGAGGTTTTGGCCGATGGGGTCAGAGTGGGCGGCTCCCATGGAGTTGCTGGATCAGTCACTCGTACCCATATGCCTCGACTGGCTGGCATTCATGACGGTAGAACTAAACGGTGCATGCACGTTCATCATAGACTGAGGCCAGCTGATGGCTTTCGCGATCTTGCTGTGGTAATCCAGAGCCCCCATAATTTCTTTGTCAAACTCCTCACCGTTGAACGCGTCGGCAATCTGCTTGTTAAGTTCGGCGAGAGCCAAGTCCTTGTCGCGAGGCTGTTAATGAGTTCCAGCAAGTTGGCGGATGAAGGTAAGGTGTCTTGCAGGAGGACCTGTGTGGCCTCAGACAGAAGTTGGGTAGTGGAACAGCGAAACACACCTCAAAGCCAAAAACAGTATCAGTGTGAAGGATGTCTGCCAGGTTTTGGCACCAATAATGTTGAGACAGAGAAGTGATTAACACCCAAATTTTCTAAACCCCCCCCCCCTTTTTTACATGTTAATGAGCAGTCCCGCTTGCTCCAGCTTCTTCGCGGTTCTACTGCACCGCAGAGTGTTTCCCACCGATGTTCTCTCGCAGTAAACTCAACAATATTTAATAATCATTTGCTCTCATGAGCTGTTCAAATCTGAATGACCAACATCGAAAATTTAAAAGAGAACACAGATGGTCTCTATATTGGTTGTAGCCACCATAAAATTTTTTTTATGCAGAATAACTGTCGGCCCAGAATTATTAGTGCCTCACCATTACAAACCCCATTGTACAAAAAATAAAGAGAGGGAGGGCACCGTTCATTATGGACAGAGCCGTCACGCAATATGAAGCAAACAGTTAGTTGCCAGCATCCACAGTGAAGGCAAACAGTAAATGAGCGCTGACGAACCTCATGGGAAGTGGTCACCAGTTTTTCCTGCATTAAGAAGAGCTCAGAGGTGCAAAGTGTTGATTCTTATATCTACATGGGTCATTAAGTTTATGCATGTAGTGGTGTGAAATGGTTTAAAATGCGGTGCACTACGATAAGGAACTACCTACAAGTACTGCTACTCTTTCAAAGACCGCAGAATACTGCTGCCCACACATCCACCCATCTTCTCGCTCAATCACCAATTAACCCACCCATACGCACATGTTGTGAACAGGTAGCAAGCAGATCAACCAAGCTGCTCGAAGGTTTACAGTGCTGAGATGTCAAAAAGTGATGGCAACATAGAGATACCTATACTTGGATGAGCTTAAAAAGTAGAGAGAGGCCCCATACGACTGATGCACGACAGCAGATCACATTCGCAACAAAATAGTTCCACTAATGCTTCCGGCGGTGTTCTCTGTAGGTGGGGTGACTGGCAGCATTTTTGATGATATCTCTTTCGGGGCACACCCACCAGTTAAGGCTTGTGCATATCCACTTTTGAAGAGAAAATGCCATAGACTTCTAAAGTTGTATCTGACTTTAGAAAATTAATTTCAAGTGTGCGACCTTTGGTGGTTACTATCACAGACAGTGCCGCTCTGCTCCTCTAACCTCTGTCTCAGTTTTGTAACTTCTGCATTTGGTGGTAAGGTGAACCTAAGGTCAGAGTTGCACATCAGCAAGGTAGAGGTCTTGAGCAAAGTACATGCCCTGACAAATCCCGTGGAAGTGTGGTGCAAGGTGGATGTAGGCACGGACAGGATATGCACATGATCACTGCTTAATGCTATATATATATATATATATATATATATATATATATATATATACCGTAACTACTGGAATCTAACGTGCACCTTTTTTCCAGTTAAGCGAGTTCATAAATCGCATGCGTGTTAGAATCGAGTACGAACAAAAAAATTACGGTCAATCTATTGCCATCGGCAAATCCAAAATGGCCGCCCCCTACGTGCGTCGGCATGGCGCGCCGGCCATTTCTGCCTATGTGTTTCCCATGTGCGGCACTTCGTACGTGTGCTGAGGAGTTCGTCATCTAGTAGTGCATTAGCATCGACGGCGTGGAAGGGCCGACTCCAAAAACTTGAGTGCGCCACGATGCCGCTTTTAAAAGAAAAGTCATCGCGTGTGCAGAAACAGACGGAAATCGGACCGCATCGCGGTCGTTCGGAGCGGGACCGGCGGAAACAAAAGCAGAAGATTGTCGCCAGCAAAGCTTCACGCAAAGGCTTCAGTGGACCACAGCAGGGTCGGTTTCCGCAAATTAAAGAGCTGCTCGGCGAGTATGTGCTTGAGCAGCGAGCGGCCCGTGACGACAGAACTGCTCCAAGTGCGGGCTGTGCAATTAGTCTTAGAAAAAGGTCTAATGCCGAGCCAGTTTAAAGCGAGCAGGTGCTGGTTAACTAACTTTACGAAGAGGAAAGGCTTTTCCCTCCGAAGGGGAACATGCATATGCGAAAAGTTTTGCGGAGGAGTACGATGAAAAGCTTCACAGTTTTCAGAGGTTCGTCCTAAACTTGCGGCGCAACAACGGCAACCTGCTTGGGCAAATCGAGAATGTCGATCAGACGCATCTTTACTTCGACATGCCTGGCACCACAACGGTCGAGAAGATGGGGGCGAAGCAAGTTCGCGTGCTGACATCGGTCCACGATAAAACTACAGTGACGGCAATGCTCTGTTACACGTCAGATGGACACAAGCTTCGCCCGTACCTCATATTTAAATGGAAGACGCTCGCGAAAGGGGTCGTTTTTTCGTGTGGTGTGATCGTGCGGGCCAGCGAGAAAAATGGGTGCGTGTTGCAATCGATGTCTTACGTTTTTTTTTTCGCGGTGGAAATCGGGTGCGCGTTACAATCAAGGGCGCGGTAAAATAGAGTAAATACGGTATATATATATATATATATATATATATATATATATATATATATATATATATATATATATATATATATATATATATATATATATAAATGCTTTTCACATTTTATATATATAAAGAAACAGCTGTTCTTGGCAAGAGCTTCTTCAGTAAACAAGAAAAGAAATCACACGTGCCAGCGGGAAGGTCTCTGCCTTCTGGGTCATTAGAGCGCTGAGCAGCCAGGTTTACAGTGGGTGCTGGGTGTTCACAGGAGAACACCATGCCGGTGAAGGGCACTGGAGAGTAGGAGGTCACCAACTGCTGCGGCTGCTGCTGTGGCTGCTGTACAGCCACAACTTCCTGGCCATACGCCAGGGTCGCATCACTGGCGCAAATGTTTGGAGTGACACCTGGGCTCAGGATCCCATTATGTGGTGTGCTGCACACCAAATCTGGAGAGGGAGCACCCTGTAAACATGTGTGGGCAAAAAAATTTCATTCCCCGTGAAGTTGTGAGAATAAAACAGCAATATCAGCATGTTGAGTCACAGCAACGCCAGCCTAGAAAAAAAAAACGAAATGACCATGAGGAATGATAGCTTGATGTCATCATAATGCCAAAGGCTATGCTTTAATACTTTTTAAAATTCAGATTTGTTTGTAGTGAATGTGTCAAGACATGAATTATTCACATCATGTTGAGTTCCGCACATTAACAAAAAATTTATTCTTTAGCGAAGCACCAGAGCAAAAAGCAAGCAGCTCAAACTGTCTCTCAGCAGGCACCGACAATGCCAAATACTGAGACCAGATGACACGGGAAGCCGATGTAGTGGTGACCCAAGACGCTGTTTCGCAGTGGCAGGGGCCGCAATCAAGAAAAGTTGCTGCACGACTTTGACCTTGGTGTGCTGCACGGTGTCGTGCGCAATTTTTGTCGAAGGAGGAAAATTACGACAGTGCGCAAGCTTAATGGTAGATGACAGGGTGCTCGCATTTTTGATTGGTCGAGAACGACTGCAGTTTCCGCAGCGCTGCATAGAACTACTGAAGCAGAGTATATTGGTCCGTGGCTTTACGAGAAATAAAGTTTTATTTACTTTTTCACATTAGTTTCTCACCTGCTCGTAGGAGTTACAGAGACACGACTGGTCTCAAGCATCTGTTTTCTAAGGCGCATCAGGTAGTCACTATGCATTAAAGAATCGCCAACCAAAAATGAGGTTTCAGAATTTTGGTCATTCAGAAGATCGGTTAGTCAAAACCTTCGTCAAGTTATCTGCAGATACGATGTATATATGAGATATTATAAAGACAACGATTCAAATGCCAACATTAGGTGACAGGCGATTTTTTTTTCAAACCCCTATCAGACTTTTTTCACTGTCCCGGCCCTTGTTGGACCAAATTTCGCGACTGCGGCCAGCTGGCCGATTCGAATTTTAGATCCATGATTAAGTACCTTGTGTTTTTTGGATTTATTTTACTGCAAGCACTGCCTACAAAGAAAAGCAACCCGTAAACCAGGAGGCATGACACAAGGAAACCAAGCAACCGTTAATGCTTTCCCCTCCAGAAGAAAGAGTGCTTACATAGGTATAGGAAGGAGCAGACACGTAGTCGTAAGAGGAAGGTGGCGGTGTACTCAGAAGTCCTTGTTCTGTTTGAGCTGGTTGACTCAGGATAGACGAGTCAAACACAGTGGTAGTGAAGTTACCATAATAAGGGGCCTCCACATGCTGAGCTGCTGGCAGTTGCATTTGAATACCAGGGCTCGCAACACTGGTATCCTGCAAAAAATAAATATTGAGATTTTAGTGCACACATCAGGTTTAGCCATACTCACCTAAAGCCAATCCTTATGCAAATACCAAGTTCAATCATATGTCCAAGGTACATTAAGATCAATTTTGGAGCTTGTAAAGTCATCCTTGGAAGAGGCATTACAAATTTTCACACACACATATATACAGGGTGGCTAAAACAATAGAGCCTTAACTATAAAATGAATGAACAAAACGAGGCATGCTTTCTTTTATTCAACAAGTCTTTTAACCCTGTACAAGGACTCTAACGTTAGCTCCGAGATGTCCACCCTGCACTTTGATACATACTTGAAGATGCCTCTAAAAATTTTTCAAATGGCCGTGACATAATTCGGAGGAATTTCATCTTTTTCCTTTTGCACTGTCCGTTTGGACTACCCAATAAATTACTGCTTTTCTGACATTACACACAAACTTTACAATCACCCATCATTACATGACAGTTTCTTTGAACCCGCCTGTTCCATCTTTCCCCGCCGTGATCATCCTAACAAAGTCAAACGCCCGCTATCTCGCACACTTCGTTTCGCTCAGTCATTCATCCCGCGCACTATTATTGAGTGGAACAGTTTGCCTGCACATATCGCCACCGAGAAAGACTCGGTAAAGTTTTCAGAGCTCATGCGCACTACGGTGACTAACTAAATATTTTTTTTTGCTTTTGTTGTTTTGTATTCTTTCGTTTTTTAACTATTGTATAACGCCATGCAATTGCTGCCCGTATTCATGGTTTGCGCTTTGTTGCGGTTGTCGGGTTGCACTGTATCTTGCTGTAAACCATGTTGTATTGGCCCCCCCCCCCTATGTAATACCCTCTTCTAGAGGGCCTTTAGGGGTAACCAGAATAAATAATAAATAAAAAAATTCATTTATGCCACCTGGCTCTGAAAACTATTTGACAATGAGAGGGACTTCAAGACACTGTTTTTTTTTCTTTCCATGAAATATAAACGCTTCCACATCCAACAGTTTGCTTTCATTAGGACACCATTTATGGCATGCAGTGCCTAAGTGTGCGCTAAGCAAAGTGTGTTGCAATGCAGACGTATTTCACCGGACACACATCACGAAAATGCTGTGGCACGGTTGTCGAAAGTTTGGTTTCACTTAGTAGGCAAATGCTGCTGCGCCTACCACAGTTGCTGCTGTGTTTTTGCTGGTGCTTGTGCTGTTCGTGGCTTTGCAAAGAAGAAAAAATGGTGTACCGACGAGCTTTCACGATGATTTGCGCGAGAAGGCAGAAGAAAGATGGGCCAGGCCTTTTTTCTTTTTCTGTTGACGAAAAACATTGCTGATCAGCCGCAGCTGTGAAACGCAAGAACTTGCCTTGACACCGCTTCATCGGTTATGTTTTGAAGCGGCTTACCCAGAAAAAACATTTAGCTCTCTCAGGCGTTGGAACAAGCTGTGAAATTACACATTTTTTTGATAAGCTGTGGAGGCGTATCGATCACATTAAAGTCAAAGCACATTAATGTTCTGGTAGGCATTCCCATATGCAAAGTATTTTTCATGGTTGCCATTGTTGATATGACTGCAAAAGTCTTTGACACGTCAAAACGATATCGTGATATCCGCGTGAACTAAAGGCGTCACTCAGTTATCAAGCCAACGATCGAGCATATGGTTCTTTCTATATGAGTACGGTTCTTTAAAGTAGACGCGAACGAAAGAATGACTTAGACTGTTTTTTCTGATTATATGCGGCTGCGATGACACACCTGACACAAATGCATCAGGGCATCAGGGCAGGGCTTTTCTGGCTGTGGTGCGCTTTACGAGATTTCCAAGTCTGTGTGAATTCACAGAAAAACATCACTCGGGAAACTTGCCGAGTCTGTCTACGATCCATACGCATTTTGTGGCGTGGGCTTGAGTGTACAAATGGAGCCGCAGACCCTACAGGTATGTTACCATATTGTCAAAAGCACATTTTTGAAGCATTATCACATGTGCATTGCGGATGAAAGTGTCGCCACCCTTCTCGTTTGCATAAACAACTTCTCCGGTACAATTGTTATATGTGAGAATTTAGCATAACGATTAGTGGCCACGTATTTTTCCTTCACGCTTTTGCATATTGTACCCTAGAGCTTCTTGCTGAACTGGGCCTGTACTTGCATTAGTAAAAATTTAAATGTGCACGTGTGACGTAGACTGCAGCAACAACGATGACATTTTGCAAAAAGAACTACATTTCCGCCATTAAGATACCTCATATGTTCATTTCAAAACCCCTCTACAGCAACGGCAACTTCCTCTGTTGCGGCCGCCGCTTGTGCTGTAAACATGTGAGAGGTGTCCCGACGCGCTGTCCTCGAAGGCAGCTTGTGCACCAGCTGCGCTCGTCGTCACGTAATCATAGAGGCTGGTGGTGCGCTTTCAGCTGGGACGACTGGGCGAAGCCAATGTGCCGTGATGTCATTTAGCGCCTACTGTGTTGACAAACATGGAATAGGTCTATATACTCGGCGGCAACTCTTTTGGCATTGAAGTGAATGCTACAGAGCCAAATCACGAGCATCCTACCGCCAGTAAATGTAGTTCTACAGCGGCGCCCATATTTTCACAGTGAAATATAGAAATACCCCCTTTATTTTCTGCTGGAGGTTATTTGAGACAGGACGCAACTCCCACCATTAAGATAGTCGTATTTACATTAATTCATTAGTTTCGACTTCGCGTTTCTGAACGCGAGAGAAAGTCTCGCTTTTTTACATGCACCTCAAATGCTAAATGGCGTCTGTGTCTACATGAAACGCTGATGGTGCGCCCCCGTCATTTTCCACAGCGTTACGTCATGCACCCCCGTAATTTTCCACAGCGGTGACTCGCGGGCAGCATATTGCATACATCTCGCAATGAGAGTACGTTATGAGTTACCAATTCCTTTCGAGAAAAGAAAAAGCATAACGAGGGTCTGATGCAACTCACGACGTATGCCAATGTCTGATTGGAGGATTGCTCCGGCAATCTGCATGCTTGTACTGGTGGCTTGCCTGCGATACCTACTTTCAACACCCCGTTCGAAAACTTCAGTGATCTTGTTTTCCAGCCAGAACAAATCTCGAATTCTATCCCACTGGCCTCTTTTCCGGCAAAATAAAATATTTATTTTACGCGACAGAACTGGTGAATGGTTGCATCATGACGCACCGATGCTGCGAGAAGCCAATGGCATGCTGGCCACAGGTCACCACTGTGTTGAAGTCAAGGAAGTCTTTTTCACAGGTGCAGAACTGACCATGAGAAGTTTTTTTTTTTTTTTTTTTTCTTTAACATGAAATGTTTCATGCCGCGGTCAACCACGGCTCCATTGACGTATTTTCTCATCAATATGATGTAGTAAAATACACATGAACAAGTTGCAAAGAAAAAGTAGAATAGAGTGAGTTGTCGGGAGCCGAACCTACGGCCCCTTGCTCCGCAGGGCATGGCACAAATAGACTCAGCCACAGGGTGCAGGCAGCTCAGCTTAATAACCGCAAGCTATTTATATACACCATTTATATTGCAGTATTCAGAGCTCGATGGCATCATCATGTTCTTGTTATCACTAGCGAGGTGTCGCGAATGGCGTGGAGGACCGTGCTTTAAGGGGGAAAATTTAACAAACTTACCATACCTAATGCCTAATGGGAATGGCAAATTTGTTCAACTTTCCAATTAATTTTTCTACAATCCTAGGACCACATTTAATATCACGGCGAAATATTAGACTAAGATAAGTAGTAGAAGTTGAGAAAAAAGCATTTTACTGATGGGCTGTCATGAAACAGCTATAGGAAAATTGGGTTTTAGAAAATGCAAATCTGCAGCTTTCCCTTGGCGCAGTGCCACCATATAGGCACCATCATAAATAGGACCGATCAGAGCTCAAGATAGCAACAAAGCTACATTTATCCAACTATAAAATAAGCCAGCTCTGAGTTCGTTTTCTTAGCTTCTAGCTCCAATTTCTTTGAGCTCAACTTTTTTCACCTTTCATTTTTTTGAGCAGTAGCTGTCAGTCATCCCAGTGCCATTTCACAACAAATGAAGATATAAACATTCTGTTTTCTACACTTAGATTCTGAGACAATGGTGAGTGCTGTAAGTAGTTTATATTTGTGTGCACATGATGCAGATTTTTATAATTGGCTTTTAGTAAAAGTTATTAGTAACACACTACTCCCTGGACATTTAAAAACTTTTTTATGTGATTACTTAATATTAATAAACCAATAATATTACTACACAGAATGAGCCCTTGTAAATATCCTTATGCAAAAATTTTGACAGGCTCATCGAGTGTTATAACACATAAACTAGATTACATAGCTCGAAGCTGATTACAGTTATAGTATCACCACAACAAATGACATTTGTATGCCAAATTTCATCACTTGATCTCCACAAATGACAAAAATAGTTTTTCTTGCCGTACCCTCGTTGCAATGCACAAACACTTTTACAGGTGACGGTTGCCATTGCCTGCACCCTTGTGATGAGGGCAGTTTAAGGTGAAGAAGGTTCATCTCATGCCGATCCTGGCTCCTCATTCAGAACTTCATGCAATCAGAGGTGAAAGTGGGCGGCAGTTTTTTGGAGCAGCTTTGGGAGCAGGAATAATGCGGCTTTGAAGCAGCTCTGGAGCTGCAAAAGGTGTGTTTTAGAGCAGATTGCTCAGGCCACACATCACTGTTAATTAGAATTTTCGCTTTTTGGTAAACACAAAAATATTTCAGTGGCTTTTACTAAGCATGCATTGTTGATCAAGGAAGCGACCAGACTTGCCCAAAATCGATATATATTAAACGTTACAACAACAAAGATAAAAGCCGAGCAACTCAAAGAAAAAAAAAATAAGGGGCATTCTGGACAGTTACTAAACCTCAAAGGAATAAAAAAATTTAATGCTAAAGTGTTGCAATGTCCAAATGTGATTAAAGCACCGCATCCAACATGAACAGCAACTCAAGACT